ACTCTATCTGCATGCACACTAAGGTTCTTTGTCGATATATTCCAAGGCTCTATCTTTATGTACCAAGAGGACCCCTCTTTGAATACCCAGACTCTATCTGCATGCACACTAAGGTTCTTTGTCGATATATTCCAAGGCTCTATCTTTATGTACCAAGAGGACCCCTCTTCGAATACCCAGACTCTATCTGCATGCACACTAAGGTTCTTTGTCGATATATTCCAAGGCTCTATCTTTATGTACCAAGAGGACCCCTCTTCGAATACCCAGACTCTATCTGCATGCACACTAAGGTTCTTTGTCGATATATTCCAAGGCTCTATCTTTATGTACCAAGAGGACCCCTCTTTGAATACCCAGACTCTATCTGTATGCACACTAAGGTTCTTTGTCGATATATTCCAAGGCTCTATCTTTATGTACCAAGAGGACCCCTCTTTGAATACCCAGACTCTATCTGTATGCACACTAAGGTTCTTTGTCGATATATTCCAAGGCTCTATCTTTATGTACCAAAAGGACCCCTCTTCGAATACCCAGACTCTATCTGCATGCACAATAATGTTCTTTGGCAAAATATTCCAAGGCTCTATCTGTCAATAGGATGACCAATCATTTTTCCATGTCCATCAATAAATCCATGTCCAATCAAAAATCCAGGTTACGCTTCTCGATATGCTGCACAAGGATAGGCGCAATATCACTTATGATGATATCTGGTGGGTTTTTTAAAGACAGGTTCAAATCAGCATGATCTCGTGGCCCTTCAGCTTTTATAATAGATTTCACTTCATAAACAATATTGTGCGGGCAAATTCCAATCCCATATCCTCCAGATGCTCCTTTTACTTTTGTGAAGACTTTGGCATAAATATTATCTTCTGTTAACTGTTTTCTTATTTCTTATATAGAGATACGAGTATCGACAAATGATATCAAATCCAGACTTATGCTAATATTATAGGACAAGTTTCTATTTGCAATATTTATTTTAGTGATTTATTTACAACCTCATCCTTTTGCCAAGAACACACACAATTGACAGTTTTTAAGCTAAATCAAACAAGTTTGTCTTGCGTACACTTAAACCAGCACATAACTCAACAGGCAGGTTTTTCCCTTGAATGTCTAAAGAGAGTCCCTATAACTAACAAATACTTTCAAATTTCGAGCCACATGCTCCATGTGCACTCTACGGGAACCAATTTTGCGATTCAATCTTTTACATCTTTTACATCTTCGTTTTATGTTATCAGGCTTTCTTCTTATTCAGATATTTTATACTTTTGTATAATTGATGAAGACCCCATAGAGGGGCAACGGGTGTAAGGGCCATCATCAATAGTGGTAACAGCTCATTTATATTGTCCATAGCTGCAAGCGGGGTACAGGAGTCACAACAAATACAAGTAGCTTGACAAGGGCCCGTTTTTGAGCATCTGTTAAATTGATCTATAAACAAAATAACTAAATAAACAAAACACCCATTTTGCAGTACAGTACATTCAAGTATTGTTTAGGCTCCAGTGAACCATATCACACTGTACTGCTTGTTATGTTTATAATTTAATGCTGTTACACAGCGAATATATCGGCATCATGGAGTCTATAAAGAAAGGTAAGTGAGGACAATTTTAGAGATGGATTGATTAGTGAAATGGAGGATACCGAGGTTAAGGAATGTGCCGCACCGCCTCAACCCAAAAGGGCTTCCTTTTTTGTAAACCTCTATATTATAAATTACGTTGCTACGGCAACTTGGCCCAATATAAGGAACAACATTTTTATAATCAAGTAGAGCAATAAATGGATTTTTATGCCTTCTTTTAGAAGCCCAGTGGCAATCATTTCTTTGGTTATTATATTCTAGTACTTATCTAGGTTCACAGTTACAGGTTCACTGCTATCATTTTCAGTGGCACCCTCAGGAACAGAAGATCGTCAATATTAAATACTGTGTTTTTACATACATCATAAAGCAATATGTATGGTTCAAAGCCACAATGAATGCATGAAAATTTGTTGGGGCATTGTGATAATGCTATGAAAAACAGGTAGGCATTTATAACGCTCCTTTTGGAACGAATGGATACTTTGGGCTATCGAGTTCATCAGCAATGATACTTAATGCTGTTTCAATTGCAACTGATCTATGAAGGCTGGCTTGCAAATGCTTGCAAAATGACAGTGACTATGGAATTTATTTTGTATCAAAATTGGACATTACGTGATCCATGGGAAAAATCCCACTAAGCGAAATACGCATCATTATATGCGAACCTCGCATCATCGTATGCCATTTTTAATCCATGTTGTACAAACAGTTAATTTCCTTACATAACTTATTTTCATTCACACACATACTGGTTGTATCAAGTGTCACACAAAGAGTTAGCACTAACTCCAATCACTTTCCAAAAATCCAAAAGCAATGTTGAAATGTCACACGGATTGCCTAAAAGTTGCATAGAATACTGAAAGAATAACACATGAATCAAAGTAAATTTCTAACAAACGTGTCAATTTACACACGCCTTGAGTTTAAACTCGCATAGGATGGTTCCCGCTCGCATAGGCTGTCACAAACAAGTTGCACTTCACACAGGTGGGAGATGTCACATGATATTTACATCCTGGTTTCTACAATATGATGTTTCTACAAAACTGATATCTCTTGGAAGAATCATCTTTTAAAATTGCTTGTATTAGAGGTGATCCTCTTTGTTTAACTTCATGTTGAAGGTCTTTGCGTTTAATATAATTACCCTCACTTATTACCCTTTTCTCCAGGAGATTATCTAAATGATGAGTAAGTAAAATGATACTGTTCCTTGCAGGTGAATTATCCTGTGTTACTGCTTGAATATAACAGCATTCTTGACCATATATTCCACTAGTTATGGCAGAAAGCTTAAGCTTGTGGCTCTCTCTATTCATCTGGCAAACAATTTTATGGCTAGAGCCCCAGTTTTTTTTGAACGTGAACTGTGTCTTGGCGTCCAATTTTTTTAAATGTTAACCAGGAAATACCTTCAGTTGGATCTACACAAGATGCCATAAAGTCAAGAACATGCAATATATGTACAGTCTGCATGTGTTGTTTCATTGACAATGCAAGCATAGTTTGATCACATATGCTACATGTTAACTTCTGCTGACGTATATGTCGAGTAGTAGTCAAAGGGACACTTTGTGGTTTCAGTGGTTCTTCCTTAATTGTGTAGTCACTATCCTTTGTTTTATTGATTTATTTTTTTTATATTCTACTTTACTGGACCTTCCATTTTCTTAAAAATTGTCTTCTTTAATATCATTTGACCTTCGGGCACTTGTTGGATAAGTTGTCGATGGAACACTTTGTTGTTTCAATGGTTCTTTCTGAACTTTGTTGTCACTACTCCTTGTTTCTATTTCAGGTTCACAGGACCTCTTCCCTTTTCTTAAAAATTGTCTTCTTTAATATCATTTGACCTTGGGGCACTTGTTGGATAAGTTATTGATGGAACACTTTGTTGTTTCAATGGTTCTTCCTGAACTTTGTTGTCACTACTCCTTGTTTCTATTTCAGGTTCACAGGACCTCTTCCCTTTTCTTAAAAACATTGTCTTCTTTAATATCATTTGACCTTGGGACACTTGTTGGATAAGTTGTCGATGGAACACTTTTTTTGTTTCAATGGTTCTTCCTGAACTTTGTTGTCACTACTCCTTGTTTCTATGTCAGGTTCACAGGACATCTACCCTTTTCTTAAAAAATGTCTTCTTCAATATCATTTGACCTTGGGGCACTTGTTGGATAAGTTGTTGATGGAACACTTTGTTGTTTCAATGGTTCTTCGTTACTAGTTCTTGTTTCTATTTCAGGTTCAGATGACCTCTTTCTTTTTCTTAAAGAGTGTTATTTTTGATATCCCCTGACCTTGGGGTACATGTTGGAGAATCATTTGTCGAAAAAACTGTTGGTAGATGCATATTACTTTTTCCTTCACTTATTATACAAGGCTTGCATATAAGAGAAGGCTCATTTGTGTCATCATTACATCTTGGGGGAGTAGATGTTTCACAAATTAGTTTCAGATGAGAGATTTTCTTTTGTATTTTTATAAGCCACTTTTTTTATCAAACATTATTATTTTGAGTTAGTCTCTTCTATATGTTTTTTTAAGTAACAAAATTTACTCCTATTTGCTGGAAAGTAAGGGCAATGGAAATGACTCCTATGCTTGATGTTTGTTAAACAAGAAGAACAGCTATAGTTACATGCAAGTAAAACTTTACCATTTACAAAGACACCATTGTCCCAATGTTGTCTCACATGGCTTTGATCTGGCAGCCTCTTAGTTACACACAGAATACAGGTTGGGTACTTCTTTAAACTATTATACAGCTTCAGTAATTCAGCCTCTTCCTTGTTATAAAGAGTTGAAACTATACTTTCAACCTCATCTTCCTCCATTTCCAAAATATGAAATTCACATTTCTTTGGGTTTTTTTCTGGTTGGTTTTAGGTTGGCTCATGCTTGGTAATTCCATGCTGGGAATTGCCTGAAATTGCCCAGGATTTTCAACTGACTTGGTTCAACTAAATTTAAGACACATTGTTATTCAAAATTTTTTATTTTCTATAAGGTTACATTAAATTAGTTATTATTACCATGAGTAAAATGAATGCTTTGAAGTGACTCAAAGTGAACATAATTTTGTTAATGAAAATGTTTCTTCACAAATATATTATATGTCTATATTTGACTTTATAAAGACACATGAAGTATATACAAAGTATCTATTTGTACCTATCTATTTGTACACCATATGCATCAGCATTTAAAATTTGAACCAAATCCATCAACTAGTGTTTGAGTTATCGAACATTACTTTTTGAAGAAAAATGGTGGCCATATTGAAAATTCTTTTTCAAGCAGAGATCCTACACCTATAGGGCATAAGCCTATAAAATTTGAATCAAATCCGTCCGTCTGTATTTGAGTTATGGACTCCTTTTCAAGGCGTTGTACGACATCCCAGGAAAGCTAGCTGTGTACAATTATTGTAAATTGCTCTGAAGTCACACTGGCCAAGTGAATATTCATTACCCAAACATTTTATCTGAATTGCAGGCCATTCATATATCCTACCATTCCAAAAAGGAATATAACGCACTCTCCTTGCACGTACATAAGGTCCTGCATCTCTGAATGCAACATAGTCAGCATTGATTTTGTACGCTCTTCTTTCACCTGTAGCAGTGAAACAAAAGACATCTGCAGTTGGTTTGTCGAAACTATCCCCACAGATCCATCTCCATCCATGCTTTTCACCACTAAACACCTTGATTAACCCTGACTTTGGTGGCATCCATACTCTAAGTTGATGGCAATAGACACTGACTCTTCTGTTAGACGAGCATGAAGCCTCATCACCACTCTTAAAGGTACATTCAGCAATGTTTGCTTCATCTCCATTACATTTGACATCACTCATCACTATTGGGTCAGCTCTGCCTCCAAGGACATTATTGCTGTCAACACTAACATACATAGGTTTTCCTGGATGTGATACAAAAATCAATGATATTACATATTTAACAATCATGTTCAACATAAATCATATGTATATCAAAGTCATAAACGATACACTAGGTGTGAGTAGAAATAATCTTGATTTACGTCATTCAGTCAACTGATGTCATATTTGGAATTGACATGTAAAATCACATCTAGAAATGTGGTTTTGAGTTTATCAACTTTGAAAATGTGACTTCTAGGTTCCCCATGGGCCCCATGTTGTAAAATCACAAAAAGTGAAATATCCTTTTTTGAATTGAGTAGATAATATTTTTACTGGACATATTTTAATTTGGATAACTATATCAGATACATAAACACCCTGTGGTATCCAAACTGCGTGCATACTATGCACGCAGTTTGTCACACTGACAAACTGCGCATATCAACATTGCATCATACAAGTGTTTTCAAACATTTATTCTGCATTGTTTTATAGTTTCATACGTCCATTCAGTGCCGATTTTATGGTTCTACCATGTGATAGCGAAAGTTATGTGTAGATGAACATAGGTTTTAAAATATAAGCAGATTAATAAAAAGTGTCATCGGCTTTTCGATAACCGACACATAAGGTAAGATGTCGCACTTTACACAGAAAAAGAAAATACTATATTACTTAAACTACTGTATCTTTCAATATGTGCAAACACAATGGCTAAATAAATTCAAATTACGACAAACAGACATTATATGACGCAATACTGTATATTTTGAACATGAAAGCTCCTTAGGAACTTTATTTTGAGATATTTCAGTTCATACCAGGAAAAAAATTGAGTGCAACTTGTAAAGAATGCAAATCTCGACATAATGGTAATGTCTGATAAACAAAACGAGCCTTGTATTTCCAGTACTTTTCATCCTTATGGGAGCCGTGTCCTCCCCGTCTGCCATTTTTAAATATGCGCGCAGTTTGTCAGAGATTCAAACTGCGTGTATAGTATTAGAGGGAATACAGTAAGCCTTTTTCATGAATTCAACATTTATTCATAGTTTTTTTGGTCATGTTGAGTTTACGATTTCATTTGCTGTTCAATTATTTTGTAATAAGATATAATCCATGAACCAAAACATTAATAAAAATAACATGTTGATTTTGTTTAAATGTTAGTATACTTACTACTTACTGTCAGGTTCATTAAAGGCTCCAGTTTGTCTGCACAGCACTTGTGTTTCCTTAATTCCCCAACCTGTGGCACAAACAGCTCCTCTATGATCTTGTGAAATATACACCTCTACTTGGCCCATGAAAGGAAACTCTGTCTTTGCTCTTATATATTCATGTATGCCTGTTTGAGACATATAAGGCTGAGTAATCATGTTAAACATCAACTATGTTTATGATTTTTTATGTATTCTATTTTTTAGGTGTAATGTGTAATTAAATAGATAAGGAGCTCTGAGTAGTGGTTGTTGTAATTGTCTCATGTTTCTACTCTCCCATTATTCCTGTACTTGTAAGCACATAACAGAAATTCTCAAAAATTTCCAGTAACCCATATTTCATCCACATTGCATCATGGAATACCATGACCCTCTCTTTCTACATCATAGATTGCCATGGAATTTGGTACGGTACTTTCGATTTAGAATTGGTGGAATCGACGGACGAATCAAATTCGCTTTAACAAACACGTGATTTTAACGTCACAACTCAAAAAGAATTCTCAATTGTTATAACATTAGAAATAAACATCTTATAAAATCATTGTAAATTTATTCTGTAGGGGAAGAAATTTTTTTTTTAAAAGTATGTCAACTTTTTTACAAGAGTAAACTTCCAGAGAATTTTAAGATTGAATGGGAAGCCCCACCTACTCAATCAGTGGGATTGGCATGGAAAATCAGAGCAACGAAACACAGACAGGTTTTGAGATGCGATGTGTATCAGCGTCCACATTGTGCATTTTTTGTTTTATACAAATTCATGCATTTAGCTTATATTGCATTTGGATCTAGATATAACAAACATTTGTACCTGGTTGATAGTCCAAACATTGTACTCCTATATTGTAATAGTCACATCTTGAAGCAGTGACCCGAGGCTTAGCATTTCCACATACAATACCGGAGTCAGTATCCTGGCATTCAAACTTCATATAATTTGACCTGTGTGGAGCTGTGCGTTGCTGATTATATATCGCAATAGCATGTTCGGGAGGGAAGCCTAAATTTTCACAGATAATACTGGCTTCTGTCTTTGTCCAATTCTCACTACAGAGACCTTTGTTAAAGTTTGTTATAAATGGTTTACCCACAGAACCATCAGAATCTTTTAAGTGTATTTTTATATCATTGGACATGTTACATGCCATATATACTGAAAAATGATAGGTCCAGCTGCACCCAAATCCAAAACCAAAGCGACGACAGTCATATATGCTTTTCTCAGACCCATTGCAGCTCTTTGAAGAATAAATAAAATGGTCTGGTGGTGGATGTTTATAGAGAAAGACTGTCCCTATATTAAGTCCAAGATGCTTACACAATACCTTTACATCTTCCACGTCCCAAACACTAGTGCACATGGTAAACCATTTGTCTCTTATATAAGCCTGAATGTTGCCATATGTCCCTTCACTTAACCTAATTAATGAGACATTACATGATACTGTAGGGCTCTTACAATATCCTGTCTCACTCTCAACTTTCCATTTTGAAAATTTGCACTCTCTTATATGTTTTTCAGAACCCTTACATACAATATCTGTGTTTATTGATTTTTGGTGTTTCGCTAATGCTGCTTCCCACCTATGAACTACAAATGTGATTGCCACCTGGGCCAAGCCAGATTCGTAGCCAAGTTGTTGACAGATGGTTTTTGCAAACCCTATAGCCCAGTCATTACCACATACCAAGAGCCATGTATCATTCACATTGACTTTGACTTCTCCATGAGATCTTTTATCAAGCTTTATAACAGCCGCAGAAACAGCACCTTTTAAATGATGAAAATAATATTCATAAAGTACATCATCATCTACCTTAAAATATAATATCATTAAAAATCAGCAATGTGTGTTTTTAATTATGATAGGTTTACTTACAAAGTTAACTTACTGTCTGGTTCATCAGGACATGCTATTTCAAAAGGTAGCCTTTCTCTGAACATGCTGTACATGCTGTAACACAGTCCAGGTGAATGACCAAATAGTGCCCAATCCCCGGCCATTGATGTTATTCCTTGACATTTGGATAACTCTGTTTCATCATTCTCCCTATGGTAATACCTTGTTACACAGTCAATGTAGGCAATCTCATAGCTAATATCATTGGTTTTTGTGTCTGTGGTTCTAGCATACCTTGTCTCTAAGCCCAGCCATTTGCATCCTTTATATGATGGTACTCCACAAGCAAGGTGCCATTTATTGGAAACAAACACTTCCAAAAGTCCAGATTTTAAACCAGATGTTATCAGTCCTTTTCTAAGTCTAAATTTTGGTTCACATATTCCAGTTACAAGTTCCATGGAATCTGTATGGTTACGAATTTCTGTTTTACAATCTTGTAGATTACTTTCTGATCCTTCACATATGAGGGTATAATTCCAAATGGGACCTCTGTAGACAGTCTTTGGCCAATATTTGTGTTTTAAGCCAAATTCATAGCCAAGTTGCCTACAAGCTACATTTGCTAACAGTCTGGGATGTCCTTGGTAGATGTTCTGCAATTCCCCAGGATTTATCACTGTTCCCCAGACTCCTTCATGTTTAAGCTCTATCACCCCAGTGTCAGAAATACGAACCTGAGCATCACTTTCATCCTTCTTGCATATAGCAATGGCATCATTGTTTTTCTGGAATGTATATACGTATCCTTTACCAAAAGAGGAAAAAGCATTGAGTTGAGCTTAACATTTTGAATTGAATGAATTGCTGCAGTTTTGCAACTTTGTTTGCTTATTCCTTGTCTTGCCTATTTACTAAAAGTGATGCTCTAGGACATTATTCATGAAAAACTTTGAATGTATTTCTTTTTTTGATTTCACTTCTCATAAGTTGATACATTTTCTCAACTTATGTATTGATCAAAATATATATTGATACCTCACATTGTGGTGTTTTAAGCCATTCCGGTGTTTCACACTGTCCAATAAATGTTTCATTTCCATTGCACTTAACATTCTGAACCCCATATTTTCGTCCCTTGCGTTCATGTCCTCCCCATTTCCTTGGGTTTCTTCTATTGGTTTTGCTGTCTAAAATTGCCAGACAAGTTTTGCACATCGATTGTCTATTGGATTTTGTACATTTCTATTTTTAAGTATGTTTTAAAGGTTCAATTAAGACCATAGAAGAAATTTGGGAGTCATTTTAACTTTCCCGAGCTATTAGTGCAATGTTTGGCCTACTAGTAATGTCTTCATCGCCATACCTATCTTCATAAAATATATGCACTTGTCGACGAATACCACCAATCAGACTTGCAAATAGACTTCTAAATAAGCAATTGAAAGTATGGACATCCCGCATTTTGTTTATATCTCCGCCAATATAAGACCGCATGTCAGCAGGTTTACAGTATAACTGCGATTGTCTAATATAACAGTATGCATTGTACACGATATGACCGCTGTCGACGGTCTATTACCGGCGAGTCTTGCAGTTAGCCTTGCCCACTGACGAAAGCAAAAACACCTCAAATCTACCCATATTCAAGGTCTTCTTGACAGGCGCATGGTATATATCAAACAGAATGATGGATAGAACTTTAGGTGAAAACAGGGCTGGAATCCAATGACGATATCACCGGGAAATCATTAAAAGGTACGTGAACATTTTTTCTGTCGATGTTTAATGGTTTTGTGAGAAGATTCCCGGTGATTTAGGATGATTAGTGATTGTGAATATAGGCAGGAATTAGGTACGTTTGGGGGTTTTCTTTGTAGTTAATGAAACTAGATGTTAGCCTTGATGAAATATCCAAACGTTGATATATTTTGACACCAGGTGCATGATCATTGGATACATCACTATCTACTCAACCTTTAATGCACAATACAGCTTTCCAGAGATGCATATATCTGTTATTTATATGTATATGTAGTTATTATACAGTCAGATATTTTGCCTCCTGAAATCATTCTTCATACTTTACCCAGTCTTTCAAAAAAGTATGCAATATGTGAATGATATTGCCAACAATGTTTAACATGTTATTTAATGCTACATTATAGAACATGACACATTACCAATACCTGATTTATAAATCTGTGTATTAGAACCATCAGGATCGTACCCTAATTGCCTACATATGACCTTGGCATCATTTACATCCCAGCCATAGTTGCAGACTCTTCGCCATTTCCTTTGAAAGTAGACTTCTACCCTGCCTTGGCCTTTATAGGCTTCATTTCCAGTGAGGCGTGCATCAAAGTCATGAGCAAGACGTGCCATTATTCCTATAGTTCAAATAAAAACTGATTCCATTTCTTTTCCCTATTCATGTTTTTTATTTTTGATAAATAGTGGGTCGGTTAAAAATAAAATTCATGTTAAACTATCCCATCTGCACTCTGGCTTTAAGGTAGAAGTTCATTGTCTATTATGCAGTCAGTTCGCGCATCTCTTATACCAAAAACTAGAACTGAATAAAACATCAATAAATGTTTATTTGAAAATCTCCTCTGGATATTCAAATGCCTCAATTGATTAAGGCGTCATGTCTAATAAGATTTTAAACCTCGAGAGAGTGGGTTTGAAACCAGGCAGAATCCATTTTTTCTATTTTTTTCCATTCACAATACATTTTCTTGATCTCTTTTTATCTGACACACTCATGTTGATCTATCAAGACATTTTTGGCAATATTACTCATTATATACAATGGAATAATAATATTTTCCCACTGATTCATAATATTCAAAGATATTTTTTCTCAAAATCCAGACAGTGAATTTTCATAACTATTATATTAATACTTTTGTATTCTCATTGAATATTCACATTTTTGGAATTTCCTATTGAGAGCAATGTTAAATTATAACACCTTTCAGAAATAACTAAACAGTCAATATTTCACAAGCAACTTTTTATATTGAAAAATAATATCCTACTTACCACTTGTAGATAGGACTACAATGATATAATGAAGCAGCATGGTTAAAAGCAACATCTATCTTAAGAGTTCCGCTATGTCAGCTGCTTGTCTAAATTATTCATTTGGTATAAACTCTGTATTGTTTTACTATGATGTTAGCTGTTCACTTGTGCAAATGTCACCAACAATTCATTCCCACTTTATTAACAAACCACCAATGTCATATTATCATCATTATGTCTGCATGTAATAGATGTTAGTCATGATCATGACAGTGGTTTAGTTTTATGTCTGCATGTTTGTTGATGGGGTCATGATCATGACAATAAGTTGGTTTCATGTCTGACTGTTTTTAGGTGGAGGTCATAATCATGACAGTGGTTGTTTCATGTCTGCATGTTTGTTGATGGGGTCATGATCATGACAATAAGTTGGTTTCATGTCTGACTGGTTGTGGATGGGGGTCATAATCATGACAGTGGTTGGCTTCATGTCTGCATGTTTGTTGATGGGGTCATGATCATGACAATAAGTTGGTTTCATGTCTGACTGGTTGTGGATGGGGGTCATAATCCTGACAGTGGTTGGCTTCATGTCTGACTGGTTGATGGAGTCATATTCATGACAGTGGTTGGTTTCTACTTATTTCCATGATTTTTACAGATTCCAAAAACATTGCTTATGGTAGTCAAGAGGTTAGTAAAAATTAACATGGCTAATGGTGTGGTGAATAAAACCTTTTTGTTATGTCTTATCTCTCATTTTTGTTATGCATTTAAATGACTAAAATATCTATTGTGGTAAGTTTGAAAATTTTATTTGCATTTGAATTTTTAGTAGAATACTATTTTATAACTATCCTTTTTAAGGTGTTGTACGACACCCCAAGAAAGCTACTTGTGTACAATTGTGAATTGTTCTGAATTCACATTGGCCAAGTGAATATTCATTTCCCAAACATTTTATTTTCATGAGAGGTCTTTCAAATAGGCTCCTGCTACCATAGTATCGAAAATAAGCCACTGTCCTTGCACGCACATAGTATTCCGCATTTCTGACTGAAACATAGTCAGCATTGATTTTGTATGCTCTTCTTTCACCTGTAGCTGTGAAACAAAAGACATCTGCAGTTGGTTTGTCAAAATTATCCCCACAGATCAATCTGGAATACCACTTGCCACCAATATCCATGGTGATTAACCCAGATTTTGGTGGTTTCCATACTTTAAGTTGATGACAATAGACACTGACTCTTCTGTTAGACGAGCATGAAGCCTCATCACCACTCTTAAAGGTACATTCAGCAATGTTTGCTTCATCTCCATTAATTAGAATAATTAGAAATCAAAAATAATTCTAAGAAAATGCTGTTTTTATTACACGCAAAATAATATTTGTTTTCGTCAAATTAATTTTCTAAAACTCTCGACTAGTTTTTGTAGAATAATATCATCCTCATAAAATATGGACTCCTTTTTAAGGCATTGTACGACATCCCAGGAAAGCTAGCTGGGTACAATTATTGTAAATTGCTCTGAAGTCACACTGGCCAAGTGAATATTCATTACCCAAACATTTTATATGAATTGCAGGCCATTCATATATCCTACCATTCCAAAAAGGAATGTAACGCACTCTCCTTGCACGTACATAAGGTCCTGCATTTCTGAAAGCAACATAGTCAGCATTGATTTTGTATGCTCTTCTTTCACCTGTAGCAGTGAAACAAAAGACATCTGCAGTTGGTTTGTCAAAATTATCCCCACAGATCCATCTCCATCCGTGCTTTTCACCACTAAACACCTTGATTAACCCTGATTTTGGTGGCATCCATACTCTAAGTTGATGGCAATAGACACTGACTCTTCTGTTAGACGAGCATGAAGCCTCATCACCACTCTTAAAGGTACATTCAGCAATGTTTGCTTCATCTCCATTACATTTGACATCACTCATCACTATTGGGTCAGCTCTGCCTCCAAGGACATTATTGCTGTCAACACTAACATACATAGGTTTTCCTGGATGAGATACAACAATCAACAGTGATATGACATATTTTGCAATACAGTAGTTCAAAATTAATCATATGCATACGACATATCAACAATTTAAGGAATAAAGACTAAGATTCTATGATTTATTTTGCAATATACGACCAAAAATTCAATTTTAATCATTGTTCATTGGCAACAGCCAGAATAAAATTGGAGGTCACATATTTGCCATAAATCATAGAATCAAACAAACCAGGTAAAATGTTTTTAAATTAAGTGCTCATATACCCCAATATGGACAAACAGATCGATTGTGCTGTTAATGTGGCGTCACATATTTTAGAATGTTAACACCTCCCCTTAATTAAAGGTTTTGTGTGATATTATAGTATTATTACTTGATGGAGAGTGTGATATTATAGTATTATTACATGATGGAGAGTGTGATATTATAGTATTATTACATGATGGAGAGTGTGATATTATAGTATTATTACATGAAGGAGAGTGTGATGTATTGAAATATCCCCTTGAAAGATCAAATATCACATGAGGCAGAGCCGAGCATTAATTTTTTTCCGAGTGATGAATTTATGGATTGGTTACAAAAAGGACGTCATACCGGTAACTTGAATCTCGAAACGACAGAGAAATTGTAAACCGTGAAGTCAGATGTTTATTAAATATTTTAAAGAAATACACCTATTTTGTACACTAGTATTTACATATAAGTAAGTGAGAACATTCCAATTATATAATAAATTTCCTTCCCCTTCAGGCTGTGGAAAATATTATACATTTTATTAGGTCACATAGGTTTTGGTCATATCAAGTTGAGTTAACACTTTCATTTTAGGATTAAAGACCTGGGAAATGACTCAGGCATTGTTGACTGAATCATTTCCCTGAAGGTGTTGTTTTCAAATTGTTGCGTGACTGCACAGCAGGAATGCATCAAGTCTTGGGCTTAAATTCTTTCCACACATAGCAAAATATTCATCTACAAAATCATCTAAAGGATACAAAATCACTTAAAGATAATATTTTCAATGAATCTTTTTGCGAGGGTCAAGTTGGCAAATCATCATTTTCAATTCGTAGAGTCCAGTTGTCACCTTGACAACTATTTTACAACCATCCAAAGTATGACATTGGGTGCGTTGATTATATAATTCATTGCAGTTATTTGAAATGTTTGGATTGGCGGGAATGGGACACAGGTTGCCTTGCTATATGGAAGTTGCTGTTTGATTATTTTGCAATATATACTCCATAAATCAAAACATTTATAAAAAATAACTTAATTTTGTTTAAAAATTATTTTATCATATCGTAGTTTACTTACTGTTAGCTTTATTAAAAGCTCCAGTTTGTCTGCATAGTACTTGGGTTTCCTTGATTCCCCAGCCTGTAGCACAAACAGCCCCTCTTTGATTGTTTAAGATATTCACCTCTACTTGGCCCAGGTAAGGAAACTCTGTCTTTGCTCTTATATACTCATCGATACCTGTTTTAGTCATAGGTTTAGAAATAATGTTAAAACTATTATGTTTATATTTGTTTTCTATGTTTAATGTGTAATTTAATATAATGGTTAAGAACAGCACCGAGTAGGGCTTGTTTTTGTAATTTTCTCATGTTTTTACTCTCACATTATTTCTGTACTCAAAAATATCAAGTAATCCATATTTCATCCACATTGTGCATCTTTAATACATACATACTATAAAGTTGTGCATTTAACTTATTGCAATGGGATTTAGATATAACAATCATTGGTACCTGGTTGATGATCCAAACATTTTACTCCTACATTGTAATATTCACAGACCCTAGGGACACATTTACATACACTACCAGAGTCAGTGGCCTGGCATTCAAACTTCACAAAAGTTGATGTGTCTGGAAATGTGCGTTGCTCATGATATATTGGAATAGCATGTTCAGGAGGGAAGCCTAGAGAATCACAGATAATACTGGCTTCTGTCTTTGTCCAGTTGTTACTGCAGATACTTTTGTTAATGTTCACTATTTCTGGTTTACCCAAAGAACCAACAGAATCCTTCAAACGTATTTGTATATCATTGAACATGTCACAAGACATGTATACTGTAGATGCAAAGTCACTATGGCAATGTCGTCCCAAACTGAAGCTACGGCAGTAGTACATGCTTTTTTCAGTCCCGATACATCGCCCCCCTGTGTGAACATAATTGTGGCTTGGTGATATGTATTTATATATAAAGACTCTCCCTGTTTTAAATCCCAGATGTTTGCACAATGCCTTTGAATCTTCCATGTCCCAATTCCGTGTGCACATAGGTAGCCATGTGTCATGAAGAAAAACCTGTATATCTCCATATCTTCCTTCACTCAGCCTAATTGATGAAACATTACATGATATTACAGGTCTGTGACCCCAAATGCCTGTCTCAACATTCCACTCAGAAAATCTGCACTCTCTTATATGCTTTTCAGAACCCAAACATTTAATATCTGTAAATATAAACGGTTTTGCAGAATATCCATTCCACTCAATTTGTATGATTCCCACATGATTTGAATCAGATTCAAAGCCAAGTTGTCGACAGATTGTTCTTGCAAACCCAATGTACCAAGACCAGCGATAACCACACACCAAGAGCCATGTATCATTCACTTTGACTTTCAGATCCCCATGTGATCCTTTATCAAGCTTTATAATAGCCTCAGAAACAGCACCTTTGAATGATGAAAAAAATATTCATGTACATAATCATCTACCTTCGAATTAAATGTCATTAAAAATCAGCAAGTGATTTTAATTATGAAAAAGACATTCAAAGTTACATGTAACTTACTTTCTGGTCCATCGGGACATGCTATCTCATAAGGTAACTTATTTCGTAGAACTATATCCTTACACATTCCAGGTGATTGAACAAGCCGTTTCCAATCCCCAGCTATTGATATAATTGTTTGACACTTGGATAATTCTGTTTCATCAATCTCCCCACGATAACCTGTTCTACAGGCAATGTAAGCAACTTCATAGCTCGTATCATTGGTAACCTCTGTGGTTCTGGCATACTTTGTCTCTAAACCCAGCCATTTGCATCCTTTATATGGCGATTTTTCACAAGCTAGATACCATTTATTGGAAACAAACACTTCCAAAAGTCCAGATTTTAAACCAGATGTTATCAGTCCTTTTCTAAGTCTAAATTTTGGTTCACATATTCCAGTTAAAAGTGTCATGGAATCTGTATAATTACGAAATTCTGTTTTACAATCCTGTAGATTTCTTGCTGAACCTTCGCATATGAGGGTATAATTCCAAATGGGACCTCTGTACACAGTTTTTGGCCAATATCTGTGTTTTAAGCCAAATTCATAGCCAAGTTGCCTGCAAGCTACATCTGCTAACAATTTGGTGTTCCCAGGATTCATCACTGTTCCCCAGACTCCTTCATGTTTTAGCTCTATCACCCCAGTGTCAGTGATACGAACTGTAGCATTACTTTCATCTTTCTTGCATATCGCAATGGCATCATGGTTTTTCTGGAATATTTATTCTTTAAACATGCAACAAAAAATTGTGGAGTAAGTAGCTGACAGAGTTTTACAACATTGCTTGCTAATAATTTTTTGTTCCATGCCATGCCTAATTTCTATAAAATAAAATGAAATGCCTAATGAATGCATACTTTTATTTGGTTGATATCCAGTTTTCAGTTTCAGTGAATTGAATCTTTTCTCATATTTTATACTTCAAATCTTCAATTATTTCCAAAGTTGATTGATATATTATTTATGCATCTGCTGCAGATATTATATTTGGGGTCATATCTTTAGTTGTCATTGTATCATCTTGAGGCATATGAATGGTGATGGCAAATGTTATTAGATGATTGTTCTTACTGGGTTGCTTGGTGTAAATAGACATGTCATGACTTTTATACACTGATCATCAATGCATACCTCACATTTTGGTGTTTTAAGCCATTCTGGTGTTTCACACTGTCCAATAAATGTTTCATTCCCATTGCACTTTACATTCTGAACCCCATATTTTCGTCCCTTGCGTCCATGTCCTCCCCATTTCTTCGGGTTTCTTCTATGGGCTTTGGTATCTAAAAAAAATTTATCAGGTACTAGTATTATTTTGAGAATAATTTAAGACTGTCATATGTTTTAGCAGTCAGCGTTTTCATGCCACAAATACAAAATTTATCATCAAAGTGATATGTTTCTTCTTCTAAAGGACCAAGGATAATGAAATAGTTATCAACTCAACTCTCTGAAAAATCATGGAATAAAAATTTATCTGGCTTTACCACATTTCCAAGGTGTTAGACTTATCTTGTTTTTCTCATTGTTATTATAGATTTAACAGTAAAGATTTATAAAATCTGCAAAAGTACATGTAGAATGGCATTGAAAGTATATGATGTGGAAGATTATCAAAATTCAAAAACAGAGGTGAATGGATAATTTTGGCATGATTTTTCTGTAAAGGAAATCCAAATGCATTCCTATAATAATGGTTTTTCAGATATTCAAATTGGTATAATTTTTATTATCCCTTTCCTAATAATGGAATGTGACACATTCACAATTCACCTGATTTATAAATCTGTGTCTCAGATCCTTCAGGATCATATCCTAATTGCCTACATATGACCTTGGCATCATTTACATCCCAGCCATAGTTGCAGACTCTTCGCCATTTCCTTTTAAAGTAGACTTCTACCCTGCCTTGGCCTTGAGAGGCTTCATTCCCAGTGAGTCGTGCATCAAAGTCATGAGCAAGACGTGCCATTACTCCTGTAGTTCAAGTTCATTACCTTTTCTCATTCATCATGTTTTTTTACTTTTCTTTATAATAACTTAAATCATTTTATATTTTTGTGAATGAACAAACCATTTTTGTAGACTGTACGGATCGGAGAAATAAAATCAAATGTAAGAATAAAGAATCTATTTCTGTTTTTAATTTAGTTTGATTTATAAAATAATGGACTCACCATTTGTAAATATGGCTACAATGATAGTAACATAGTGAACAGAAAGTTTCTTTCTGCTAGCTTGTCTTTTATTTCAAGTTCATCATATAACAGTTTAGTTTTACAGATATTTACCTGGTCTGCTCACTTTCATTTTTTTTGGCTAGATTGTCATCTATTTATCATCAAGTAACCTTTTAATTTTCATGTGAGAAACTTTATATAATGCAGCAGCATAAACCAGGACTTTGATAGCAGATACGCAAGGCCAAAGGCTGAGCAAAAATAAGGAGGTCAGGGGGCACCCCCCCTGGAAATTATTTGATTTTAGACCTTAAATGGTGCGTTCTGGGTGATATCAGACTGTGGAATGGGGCGCTATTGATTGTATACATTGTTTGAGATATGTGTAAATGAATAAATAAAACCATGCATGACATGATTGCCTGTTAAATCGATTATCATTCAATTTATTTTTTGCTCCATTATTTAAGGTATGCAACTGCGTACCCTCGCGTATGCCTGGTTACTCATCTGTAATGAAAATAAAATATGATACTCACCACTTGTAGACAGGACTGCAATGATATAATAAAGCAGCATGGTTTGCAACCTTTATCTTAAGAGCCCCTCTGTGTCAGCTAGTCTAAATTGTTCAAAGTATTTAACTCTAAAGTTAAAACTAATGTGGTTAGCTTTTCATCTGTTATGTGTAAATATTATCAATATAACATTCCAAGCAAACCACTAATGTTATATTGTTGCCATGCTGTCTGCATGGTTGTTGATGTGGTCTTGATCGTGACAGTGGCAGTGATGGCATTCTACAGTACTAATTTTCATCCGTGAATGTTAAAAATTATATGAGTACTTTCCCTAGAGATTGTGCATTGACCTAATGTAGCATCTGTTTAAATCCTCATAAAATAGCCACAGTCCAACAACATATGAAAATTGTTGTGATAACTTCCCTGGCTCTTAAGACCAAGAAAAGGATTGATCAAGATGATTAAATAATTTGGACTTTGAGACAGAGAATTTGTCCAAATACCCCACCAACAAACTACCGGTATCTATTTTTCAGATTTGAGACTAAAAAGCAAAACTAATAGCAGCAAAATCAAACAATTTATAGTATTTTGTTGTTTTGATCATTTTTATTATGCTGGGTTTATTAATAAAACGTGTGTAATGTCAATTATTATTATTATTTGATATGACAATATTAACTTTTGTTTCTGAAATGCCGGGAAATTCAAATAATTGAAAGTTATACTATGAGCAACTATTTTCAAAAGCTACATTTTTTAAAAAGTTTCTCAAATAGTTTTACAAGTCATGAAACTTAATGGTTAAATGATTAAACTATATATTTTCAAACTTTGCTTGGGGCCTTTAAATTGATTTTTTTCATGCCACCACCAGAAGAAGTGACATATTGTCAAAGTCTCTTACTTTTTTGTGAATGGTGTTTGGCAGTTGGTGTATGGCGGTTGATGTTCAGTGTTCGACATCTGTAATAAATGGCAGGTTTTGACATTTTGCAGGTTAATGCCATTTTAGTTTTAATTGTGTGATTCTGTTCTATTATTCCTATATTTTTATAATTTTAGGCAAGCTAAGAGGAAGTTAGATGAATATTCATTCTTTGGCAATATTCTATATTATTCCTTTCTATGATTCCAGACATGCTAAAAGGAAGCTAGATGACTACTCATTCTTTGGCAATGTCCTTCATGTGAGCTATGCCCCAGAGTGGGAGAGTGTGGCTGAGACCAGGGAGAAACTACAACAAAGGCGCAAAGCCATAGCTATTAGGACCAGAAAAAGTAAGATATTTATCAAAATAATCCAAAAATGTTTATGTTTCAACATTGTCATCACGTCTGGATACAATACAAGCTTGCGACAACAGGCAAACATGCCTAACAGCTACAGTATCCAATGATGATGATGTTGATATAATCAACCAAAATACAACTTTTATTCTGTTATGTTAGGTATCACATGAATATTGTTCTGTATAAAACATACAAACCCCATTTAAATGCATTTCAAATCAAAGTAAAACAATGTTCTATGCATGATTATGAAGTAAATTAATGGAGGCTTAGTGAGCTGTCAAATTCTTTTTGCATTGCAATATATTTATTAGAAGATTCTTGTGTTACTTGCTACTTCAATGCTTCCATCTTATATTTATATTAACAATTGTCAATTATCCTCTTTGAGGATGTAGCACTATAATTGTGAAAACATCACATCATCACACTAGTTACATGCGTTAATGCAATTCACAAGAGTGAACATAATGGTGATGGGATTCTATTTAGTATTCATAACATTGCATTTACTCTTCCCCAATTATTTCTTTTAAAGACATTGCATTCAATCTGGGGAACATAGTATTTATTCTGATTATTTCAGGTGAACCATCCAAAACAAAGAATCCAGAGTCATTGGATATAGATAAGGATGAGACCACAACAGCAGCTTTAAGTGAGTCAACTAATGAGCATGGAGACAACTGTCAACAAAAAATTGATGAAGTTACTGAACATCAATCTGTTACTGATCAGCCCAGAAATAATGAAGAGTATTTTCAGCATCAGCCTCATCCTAGTGAACAATTTCCCACACATGCTCCTCATGGAAATGGATGGGAGAATCACTGGAGGTCCCATATGCTACCTCCTCCAAATCTCCCATGGTCACTTGGTGATCATTCAAGGGTTCCTTTTTGTCCAAGAGTTCCACCTTTCTATCCCCGAGGAAGTTTAAGACCACCCCCATGGCCATGCAGAGAACAATACCCCTCTCTACCTGCCCCTCCAAGGCATGGTGTTGCTCCCCCAAGGTCATATAAACAAGATATCGACCATGCTAGAGTACCATCCTCACACTCAACATTACCTAAGGACTTTCAACCATACAATGATTCAGAAAATAAAATCAACCAACAAACGGAAACTGCTCAAACAAATAATACTGAAGGAGTCAAAGAAGATAATGTCAGGGATTTACAGCAGAAACAGCCAAGACAGTTAAAGGAAAATGAAAAATTAGTCGATGGATTAATTATTAGAGATGTTAAAACTAAATCTGCTGGGCTAAAGTTTGTGCCAAGGCAAGCAGTGAAACACAAACACTCAGATTCAGAGGGTAAGAAAAAAGACAAAGAAACTGATAATGTGAATATCGAGTTAAGAAGAAATGCATTTGTTTTGGGGGCAAAGGCAGGACCTCTGGCTCTCTCTAATAGCGAAATAAAAGCAGAGAAAGTATGTCAGGAATCTGTTCATAAGACAAGGCAGGCAATACGAGACAAGGTCAAATCGGTAAGTGTCTATTAGTCGTTATATGATTGATGTTTCATTACTTCATTCATTGCATTATTATTCTCACAATTTTATGGTATTTTTTATTATTGTAATCACTGTCAGATGCTGCTTTTTCACTCACTTTGAAGTCACTGGAAGGAGCCCATTGAACCCATTGTAATGTGACTTATAATTTCACTTTGGAATATAAGCTGCCATTTAGGGCTACATATCTGGTTAACTTAACCTTATTTGTTCTTTTACATACTCTTGAGTGTTTGTATTTAATCAAGGTCTAGATTATTGTGATATAACTCCGATCTTGCTAATTTTTTTAAATCATTGCTAATGATTTATGCAAGGCACTAGCCCCCAGGCAGTTCAAAAACGCGACCTGAATGTTTGTATGAAGTTTAATTTAAAGCCTACTCATGATTTCACACTGTAGCGCTGTTGAAAGTCTTTTTGCTGTATGTTTTATTTCTATTTGGTCATCATTCTTCAAACAATTGATTTTCAAAATATATATTGCCAAACTTTGTGACAACTTATTCATCCCTGCTTATCCCAAAGAATCCCCTATATGCAGTCAAATAACAATCAAACATGATAACCTTATCTGTCGTCCTTTTCAATTGATGACTTTTTATATTTTTATATTTTTCTTTTGATATGAACATTTTTCAGGTTTTTGTTGATACCATTGTACAACCTCCAAGGAAAAAGAAAAAATAGACGTTGTTCTAAGTTAACAAGTACATAGCAATGGACACGTACAAGCATACGTGCTAAACAAGCCAGCTGATGGACATGTTGTTCAAGTGTAAATGTTAACTTATAGGCATGTTGTTCAAGTGTAAATGCTAAACCATACACCTTATGCACATGTTGTTCAAGTGTAAGTGCTAATCAAGTCATCTTAAGGACATGTTGTTCAGGGGTAACTGTAAAGCAGTCATCTTATGGACATGTTTTTAAGTATAAGTGTAAAAGTAGACACCTTATGAACATGTTTTTAAGTTTAAGTGTAAAAGTGGACACTCATGGACATGTTTCAAAGTGTAAGTGGCCACCTTATGGACATGTTATTCAAGTGTAAGTGCAAAAGCAGACACCTTACGGATATGCATTTAAGTGTCAGTATGAAAGCAGCCACCTTGTGGACATGTTCAAGTGTAAATGCTAACTTATAGGCATGTTGGTCAAGTGTAAGTGTAAAAGGAGACAACTTATGAACATATTCTTCATATAAGTAAACAACAAGCCATCTTATCTGAGGGACATGTCAGATTTTGTGATTGTTCTAATCCCTCATATATTAAATAGGTGGTTGTTCAGGTAAGTAAATCATATTGAAAAATGATGCTATGTTGAGCATTGTAATCTAGACTAGAAGGCTAATAATAATTCATTTATATATACAGATTGAGCCATTAAAACTGTACAATGCATCTTAATTTTATTCATCAGACCGATCACATAGGTGAACCATGTGTAACACACCATAAGAAGAATTCATATGTCACTCATCTTAAATGCATTTTGATTAATTGTCATATTTCACTTCAACAGAATTTGTTCATAACAGTGATGAGATCTATGAAGAAGATGTTCACCAATTTCCTATCAGCAATAAAAGTTGTCAATCAGTAAAAAGTTTATACTTTACATTTTAATGCCATCCTAAGATAACTGTGTGCAAATCATTATTTTATCCCCAAATTGTTTTGGTATAAGGATGTGCAACCCTTGTTCCTTCATAACTCAGTCTCATTTTAACAAATAATCCCCAATATTCTGCCTCTTCAAATGTCAAATTGCATGTGTATCCCAGATAAATGTTGATAAATGTTTTAAAAAGTCACAATATTTATAGCATACGGTTCTTAATATATGCAGAAACTGTCTAGCCATCTTAAATGACAATAGTATTTTGGTATCATGCATTTTTTGGCCTATCCTATATATAACTAGACATTAGAAATTCATTTTCAGACTCCAGTCTGATGGCAATTTTTTTGATGAGATACGCCAGTATCTATTTTTAAATTATTGGACCAGGTGCCTGGCTGCTTGAACCTCTGATAGCCTAATGACCAATGATGACAGATTAACCACAGACCACATGCTTCAAATTCTTGGGTCTGTTCTCACTGGGAAGCAGGTCAGTCTCAGAGGTTCTGGCAAGCAAAGCAAATGTTAGCTAAGTTTCGTGATGTTTTAAAGGGTGACGCATATCGTTTAGCAAATCGAACGCTCGTTTCTGGTGTTGCTCACCATTTAGTATAAAAGGCTCGATCCCGGAATAATACTCAAGGGTTCAAAGGCTCGAGGTCGTTGTGTCAACACCTCTAACTTTTATATAACATTGGTACAGTTTAGATCGTCACACATTTATAAAAGGGAGATTTTCATTTTAAAAAATATACGGGAAGCTTATCGGAACCCTTTAAGCAATCTGTGCAAAGTTTCTTTTGTTATGTAATCTTATGTAACATTACGTGTAATTATACAATATACTTTCTACAGCTCCAAACACTTTTTTGTTGTTTCACTTATTTAAGTTGTCAGACAGACACATGGACAGACGGACAAATGGACAGAAAGACAGACAGGACAGATGAATAGGACAGGACAGACAGGCATTTTTCAAAATTGTCTTCAATACTCATGACTTTGTATCAGGATATCATCATATTGATTTTTTTTAAATAATTCAAAATGGCGTAGAATCTGAACTGGTAGTTGGATCTCAATTCGGACTTGAAAATTTACTATTAATTTGACACCTCAAACATTAAATTTTGAGAACTTTCCAAATGGGAACAAGAAGTTGGATCAAAATTTGGTTTGCATATTCGATTCCTGAGAAAATTCTACTCTTATTTCATAACTCATACGTTAAATTTGGAGAACTTTTTGTTTTGACCTACTTTCCCTTCGCCATATCCCAAAAGTGGGTCAAAATACACCTTGACGGCAAAAAGCTTACACGTATTAGCATACTCTTTGCTATCTGCATACAAAATTTCAAAGAATATTATTATAGTGTAATGTCAGAATTGCAAAAATTGCTAAAAATTTGACCTAGATTTTGACCTAGGCCATTTGGTGTCAAAATTTTGAAGCAAAGTAGGTTTTGAGGTTGGCTTCTATTATGGGCTCTTATTAAGTTGGCTGCATCCAGGCTATATCTCGTTTTGTTACAATTCATTATTTTTTCAAGCCCCATTGACTTAACATGGGATGCCAAAATTGTGATTTTTGAGATTTAAAAATGCCATAACTTCCGAACTGGAAGTCTGATCGAAATTTGGTTTGCTGATTCAGATTACTGGGAAAATTCTTTATATTCTTTAAATCATACATTGAATTTCAAGAACTTTTTGTTGTAAACTACTTTTCGGATGCCATATTTCAAAAATGGTAAGAGTAATCGAAAATGGATGGCACATGGTCAAATTATCTTTTTTCTTGGCTACATGTTGAAAAAAAGACGAAGAAAAAAATATTCAAAATTGACAAAGATAATTGACGAAATGTTGAAAATAAATTTGACCCAATTTCCCAGAAAGTTTCACATATATTCCATGTTTTTCAAGGGCTCCCAAGGGCCATGAATGGGGGGGGGTCGGGAAAACAGGAATTTGCATTAATTTTGAGATCTTTCTGAACTATAGCTTTAGTATACTCAAATGAAAGGCAATTTAGAGTAGATTGCAAATATTGAATCTTTTTTCTGATTTAGGCTTCTGATTTGTGGTTTTACAACATGGGCTCTATGGGGAATCTCCCCGACCTAGAAATCACATTTTCAAAGAAAATTAAATTTTCAAAGTTGATAAACTCTTTTCAAAACCACATTTCTAAATGTAATTTTACATGTAGATTCCAAATATGACATCAGTTTGACTGAATTGTCAATTGAATTTTTAATGACGTAAATCAAGATTATTTCTACTCGCATCTGGGATATTGAAGGAATTTCAGAGTACATTACAATTATGATATTGTTTTTCTGATTTGTGCCTCAGAAAATTCAAAATGGCTGCCTTGCAGGAATTCGCAATTCTAAAATTTAAATTTTTCATTTGAACCAAAGTAATGACTGATTGGAATTTTGGTAATTGATATATTGTTCGTTGGGAATTGCTACTCCATAGAGTTGCCGTCTTCTAGTTGTAAACCTTATGGTTGTCAAGGAAAAGGCTTCCAGTATAATAATAATAAAAAGAATAATAAAGAAAAATGGCAAAAACAAGATTCTAGACTTCATCTGGAGTCTAAATATATATTCATATGTAGCAAGTAAAGTTGAGTCACAAAGTGTTTGTTTATCTTTTTGTTGTATGAACGTTTCAATTTATATTGTCTGTTTGTAAATGTTGTGTGAGATAGATTAATGAGTTTGAAAATAGATTATTTTTATATCGTGATGTTTAAACATGATAAAGCAACTTTTTTTTAATTTGAATAGTGGTAATGAAGACATTTCAATGTAATACTCGGGTTGTATTGTACATGTTTTATTTGCTACATAGCATGTACATCTAAATTAACATTATTATGTTTTTTGACCTGCCAATCATATAATTTGACCTGCCAATTATTTTATTTTTATTTTACTTTTCAACCTTGCAATACGAAATAAGCGCTGCCTTTTTGCAGGTGTAAGGTTTTTTCTCTTCCAAATCACATTGCCCAAGAGAAAGTTCATCACCCACACACCTAGCATTAACCATGGGCCATGTAAGAATATGCCGGGGATAGTAGTCACGAAAATGTAATTTAGAGGGTACACTAAAGATTGAAATGGTACCATAATCACTGCTTAAAATTCTTTTGCCTGTGTCAGACAAACAAAATACATCACTTGTATTTCTGGTCATATCATCCCCACACATCCATCTCCAGCCATTCTCTTGTCCAGGCTTTATGTTCACCTGGATCAGTCCACCCCATTCTAGTTTCCATACTTCAAGTTGATGACAGTAGACCCTGACTCTTCTGTTAGATGAGCACGAAGCCTCAATACCACTCTTAAAGGTACATTCTGCAATGTTTGCTTCATCTCCATTACATTTGACATCACTCATCACTATTGGGTCATCTCTGCCTCCTAACAAGTTATTTGTGTCAACACCTGCATGGATGGGTTTTCCTGGATGAAAATAAATGTACATGTTTGACTTCTTAGACCTTAAATAAGTATAGCTATTCATATGTATGCACAAGTGCCAAAGGAAAAAGACCAAGAACTTTTGAGATACCATGAGAAAAGGTAGTAGGTGTTCAGGGTAGAGGGAACACTTTAGGGTCTGATACCTAGAAGCTCAATATCTCAATGAACACCCAAAACACACTTACTATCAGGTTCATTAAAGGCTCCAGTTTGTCTACACAACACTTGTGTTTCCTTCGTTCCCCAACCTGTGGCACAAACAGCCCCTTTCTGATCAGGTGAGATATATACCTCTACTTGACCCGCGAAAGGAAACTCTGTCTTTGCTCTGATGTACTCATGAATACCTATTTGATATAAACATGAAGATTTTGCAAAATAAAAATTTTCACTGTAGAGAGAGAGGTGTTCACATACACACAGGTTTTACTGTATATGGCTTTATAAACAAGTGTCATCCATCCATCTGTCATGTACATCTACTGTACCTATGTCTTAGTGTAAATTCTAGGAGAGTACCATTATTTTTAATTTATGGTTCATTAATATAAAACTGGAAACAACCTCAAAAGTTTAGCAAAACAAAGCCTTCAAATGGCTACCAGAAAACAAGGTGGCCACCCAAAAGTTAATCACTCTAGAACTGGACATTCTCTATCATGTGTGTGAATTTGGAAAAAATCCGATGAGCAGTTTTCCTGAAATCGCGATGACAAAAAACGCGGGACAATCACGATAACAATCACGATCACGCTGTCATCATGACGACTATATCCCACCGATGGTGATAAAAACTACCGAAAACATACATGTGTAAACATGTTGGTTTTTGGTGGCCATTTTGAAGGTTTTTCCATAAATCGCCATTTCAGGAAAACTGTTCATCGGATTTTTTCCAAATTCGCACACATGATAGACTTTTGGGTGGTCATCTTGTTTTCTGGTAGCCATTTTGAAGGTTTTTCGATAAGTCTCATCATCCCCACATCAGGAAAACCGCTCATCGATTTTCTCCAAATTTGCACGCATGACAGAGGATATCAAGTTCTAGAGCTGATTAACTTTTGGGTGACCATCTTGTTTTCTGGTGGCAATTTTGAAGGTTTTTCGATAAATCTTGTCATTGTGATTTCAGGAAAACCGCTCGTCGGATTTTAATTTACTCCAAATTTGCACACACATGATAGAGAATATCAAGTTCTACAGCTGATTAACTTTTGAGTGGCTATCTTGTTTTCTGGTGGCCATTTTGAAGGTTTTCCGATGGTGTGATCTCGTTCAAGTCATCTGCCTTGTTAATTTTTTTGATTGGCTATTTTCCAACACCACTTGAAGGTTGTGTGTAAAGATGAAAGAGTTTCCACTACTTTTCAAAGGCTTATTACAGCATGTTGCTTTGTATAGCCTATTACGGCTTTTTACTTGCACACTTGAAATAGATATCTCAGCTTTCACTCTCTACATACAGAAAACAAGAATTAATGAAACATTGATGGAGTGGGAGCGGTTACAATGACCCCTACTTTAAGGAGTTTTCAATGTTTTCTAACCCCTTGATATTCATACACATCCTTTAAATCGAGGCAAAAATAAAACAAATATGCTTCAACAGGCTATAAAAAGGGAATCAGTGTGACTAACATATGCATTAAATGTGACTGGTATAACTGACTATACTACCTGGCTGGTGGTCTAAGCATTTCACTGCTACATTATGATGTTTACACTTTTGGTCTTCTCTCATCAAACACCCAGTGCCAGAATCAGTTTCATTACATTGAAACCAAGAAGAATTTGATGTTGAAAGTGCTGTGCGTTGGTCGTAATATTGTGGAATAGCGCCTTCGGGAGGGAAGCCTAAATTCTGGCAGATTACACTTGCTTCAGTCTCAGTCCAATTATTGCTACAGAGCCTTCTGTTAAGTATCTCCGGTTTACCCGAAGTACCATCAGAGTCCTTTAAATGTACTTTTGTAGCATTTAACATGTCACATACAACATATACTTTCTCCCCGCAACTTGAACCACCTCCCCATACAAAGTTTTCACATTCATATATGGCATTCTCTGACCCATCACATGCTAAATTATATATCCCTACATAATCATTTTTTTCACGTGTTAGTGATCCTGGCATTGTGAGAACTGTGCCTGGGCTGAATCCTAGATGTTTGCAAATGACTTGTGAATTTTCAATTCTCCAACCGTTCCTATATGTGCACACAGGTACCCAAGTACCATTAACAGAAACCTGTAAGTCACCATGTGCCTGTTCACTTAGTCTAATTGGAAATACATCACATGTTATTGATGCAGCTCTACAGTAACTTTTTTTTTCTTTTTTCCATATGGAATATGAGCACTCTCCTAAATTCTTTTCAGAACCTCTACAGCAAATGTCTGTTTCAATAAATTCTTGTTCCTCTGGAGAAGAGATACTATCCCTGGTGATTGACACATGCATAATTGATTTGTAGCCAAGTTGTTGACAGACTGCTTTTGCAATCCCAAAGGACCTGTCATAGCTGCACACCGTGAGCCATTCGTCATCAACAAGGACTTCCAAATATCCACTAGATCCCTCCGTCAATCTTATAACAGCCTCAGAAATAGCACCTTTTAAAAATTACAAAACAGTTATATTTTTATGCATATATGTAAAGTGTGATTTAGTTTTTAAAAACCTAAAATTGTATATGCTAAGGGCTGATGTGGAAAAGTCACTTCACCTTGGTAGGAATCAAACCCACAACCTCCTGAATACAGGGTGGTCAAAAAACACCACTTTTTTCGAGACACTATAACATTTTTATTTTCTGACGTACATACACCAAAGGACAGGTGGCGGTAAACCCCTCTTTTAGCCCCCCTACAAAACAAGTATATATTGACATGGAATTGAAGAGGAAGTATGACAATTTACTTAAAATGTGATTTCTGAGAATTTTGACATTTGACCTTGACATTAGGGTGGTTTAAAGGTCAACTTTGAAAGATGCTATTTTTGTCAAAATTTTGCCATTTTCTGATACAAGATATGAAAGCAATTGGCTTAATTTTGATTGTGACTGATAATAAGACATGTGAATGGAAATAAAAATATTTTTATAAATTCTCATGGGCAATTACATGAAAATCTTGAGAATAAATCCCCATATGGGCATTTTGGGGAGACTAAATTTTCCTGTTTCAAAAATGAATGTTCTTGTTGCCTTTTGAGACTCCAACAGCATCCTAATATAAGCATGTTTTAAGAGTTGGGATGTGATTATTATTTTAAATGCCCATGGGCAATTAGGATAATATGGCTGCAATTAAATGCACACAGGGCACTTCCATGAGAATGGATTTTCTTATTTCAATTGCTTCTCGCCAGTTTTCTAAACATGTTGCCATAATCTAAATAGTTATAGGGTCACATTTGATAAATGCCCATTGGCATTTACATTGGAATTTGAAATAAAATGTCTGAATGGAGACCTAGTTTTAAAGTTATTTGCAATTCCCATATTTGAATTTCAATATACAATATATCATAAAATATAAGGCAGCATCATGTATAAATGGCATGACACTCAAAAGATTGCCTAAGATAGTTTGTACTTATTCCCTATTTAGAAAAACACTTAGGCCATTCAAAGATTTTTTATAATTAATGTCACTAAATTCTATGTTTTCAGAAAAAAACAAAATGTTCCCATGTACTCTGTACTTGTAATGCATATAAATGACAGAGGGAATTGTGATCTTGAATCATATGTATTGAAATGAGTTCCAAGATTGATAAAAACTACATGTATATAAGCTTTAGTATTGTCTTCATTAACAAGGTCATCTGCTATATAAAACCCTTTAAATAAATAAAGGGTTTGTAGTTTTTAATATAAGGCCCTTCATCAGAATGCCAACATATAATTAATTTTGAATGGCCTAATCTGTACATGCAGTTATGTAGTGTACATGTATGCCCAGGTTAGCAGCCATATTGAAAACATAAACCAGTCAGCCTTATTTTCATCACAAAAGTTAAGTTTTAGTGGTGAGCCCACACTCCCACAAAAATGATATTTGCAGAGAAGCTACTTTACAGTCTCTGCATTATACAGTTTTAATATCTTTTTTGTGGGAGTGTGGGCTGATGGTTAAATTTTCAGCGAAAGGAAATGAGCACCATGCTAAAACTTGATAACAAAGTGAACAAAAAATGACAATGTTTTCCAGATTTGCATTGGTAAACTTCATACATAGCTAGATTTTGTTAATGTTCTACTCCGAATGCTTGTATGCCACATGTTCCATATAATAAATGCTATGTAATGATAAGTTTTGATATTATTTTGATGGTAAACATAGTGTGTACCCATATTCAGACAGCCTTGTGATAAGGGTTCTTACTGCCAATTTTTCAAAGAAACTGAAAACTAATGCCACTTTTTGAAATTGCACATCTCAAGAAAAAAGGTTTATCTATAACTTGCAATCGCTTTTAAAAGTAAATTGAAGAATGAGTTTTTTGGAAAAAGTCTAAGTTGACCAATAGTCTGTTAAATGGACCTGTTCTTTTGCAGCTATAGTGTAAGGGGTTCTAAGTAATAATATTTAATGTAACAAGCCCTTTCAACTTGGATTATATTTAATCTAAAAGACTGTCCGCCACCCTCCATTATGATAGCTTTTAGTCTCAGTCAACTTGCCGATATTGCAGGATCAGTGAAATATTGGCTAGTCATGATTGCCAGCTTTATTTGAGCTTTTTTTGAGGTGGGTGCCTTTATACCATCTCCCAGAGACCTTCAAATATCCTATACTCACTGAGGTTTGCATCAGGAGTATTAGCTTGGTGGTCATCAGGCCATATCAGTTCAGGTACATTTTGCAAATTATGTTTATTTTTTTCATGGCACACCACATGTTTAGGTGAGCACTTGTGACATATTTTATTCAAGTAAAAGTGTTCAATTCATAATCCATGGCTAGACTGCCACCTCAAGTTTCATTTGGTATGCCAAAAATTATGATTTTCTATCAAAACTTAAAGTTATAACTCTTTAAAAAAAGGTGTTTTCTGGACCACCCTGTATAATTTTATCATATCTCTCTCTATGTGTCTGTTTTCGCAACAAACCGGATTTTATTTTCAGAGCACAAATTTTATAACATGATATGTGGGGTTGAAACAATTTGCCATATATACCGCTGTAAATTTTGTAAATAAAACTGAAACTATTGCTTTGAAAAACTGCTCTTATTTTGAGCCAATTATTGCATGGTTGAGGCTATATTTTTATCAATATTGCCATGGGCTTTCAACAGAAGGATATGCAACTTCCCATATTTCATACATAAGTATTGCCTTGGGTTTTCAAAATTGGAGAAAAATGTTTCATCTAAACATTCCAAGAAACATGCATTAATTTAAAACTCTTTGAAATATTATCAAAAAGGGAAACAGGGTACAGCTAAGTTGCAAATGGAGGACGTGGGTTTAATTCCATATTTCTGGACTTAAAATACATTTTACATTTATTTTTAGTGATCTACCAGACATAGAATTGATTCATCAAGCAGTTTGTAGAATATTGTAGGCAAAAAACCACTATAGGCAAAGAAAGATAATAGTGGGCGCAGTGAAGCAAAACTTGAATGCAATGCACGATACATTCCAGTAAATCTATTAATGTACAGGGAGCATGTAAGTTTCCCTTAGAAAATTTTACATTGATTTGTAACAAAAAAACACTTAACTGTTGTTTAAACTGCGTGTCATCGTGTTATATGTGGATACGTTTTCCAGTATGTTATTCAAAGATTCTTCACATGTAGTTCAGGCAATTTTAATTATTTTGAATAGCGGATTGTCATTAATACTGATTATCATAAACGTGTTCATATTTAATTTCGTTATTTTATTTCAATTTGATACCCTAGTAACACGTATAATCTAGCGTTCTTGTTAATTTAATGACTAAAATATATATACGACCTGAAAGCCTGTGTCTATCTACAAAATAATGTTTACTTTATTTTGATTTAGTAACAATTGATGACACCTCAAAGCATCAACAGGCGGCCTTTTTAGCATTATTTTCACTGTTTGCAACGTAAATGAACATGAGATCTGGACATAGTATGTCTGTATAATCAGCTTACTTTCTCGCTCCCTGTACTATTGAACAAATTACATTCCTTGTACCCTGTATTGATCAACTTTTGCAACTGTGTACCGTGTACTATGACATATAACATATTTTAAAATTTAAAACGATATTATTTACATTCTTTCTTGAACTATCATATAACTTGGAACATGGACTTAACAATTGCACCACTGAAGTTCAGCGAATAGCAATATTGACTCACTCTGAGCACCAAACGTAGTAACCTTTGACTTAGCAGTCGATATACTCAAAAGCGACCTGGTTGAAAGCCAAAAAACTTGTGCATGCGCAATCGAGGTAGGGTAGTGTGGATATTGTGAAGGGTATGATATCACTTGCAATTTAGTGTGGAGTCAATTGAGCTGAAACGCTATTGAAAGCATGTTATACAACAGCAAATATTGCAAGTGTTTGGGGATTAAAACTTTTTAACCTGAATGCAACACTGTTAGGCTTATAACTGGGGTAACATTTTTAGTTATTGATATAGGTTCTGACAAATGCATTTCAATCAGTTCCTTGTATATGTAATGAATAATATTGCAGTATTCTTTCCACTTGAATCTTTTTTGTGAAGTTCAGTCAATTAAAAATATTTATTTTATTATTGGAATGCATGCATATGTCTGTATGTGAAACTAATGTATATTTCTACTTTGATGTAGCCTTCCTAGTAGTTTGCAATAACAACTTTTCGATTTACCGCCAGGATAACTTGGCACACAGTATGTCAAAAATGTCATGGTCAAAAGGTGCGCAAAAATAACAACACTTCAGAGGTTGACAGTTTCACCCTATGCAGACAGAGCCTGTGGGAAATATTGGGTGCGGAGCAAATGAGCGGAGGGTGCGGAGCTAACGGTCATTTTTGAATTTAAATTTGGGATATTTCTGAAACTAAGCTGTTTTGGGGCCAAGATATGTGTATTTGACACCAAATATCAATACAATTGTGAAAACAGTAGTGCAATTTATTTTATAGCGACGCAGTGTGCCTTAAACCTTTCCCAGACCTATATATTTTGAAATTATCCTTTTAATACTGAGTCCGCAGCATTCATAAAAAATGGTGTTCAAGGTACACTATCTATACAAGTTATTTTTGCATCTTGGAAGCCAGGCAGTATCTGTGTGATTTTATAAAAATTCGGAAATGTTTTTCAGATATGAGCCCCCTCTAAATATTGGGTGCGGAGGAGCTCCATAAACGTACCTCCGCACCCAATATTTAGAGGGGGCTCATATCTGAAGAACATTTCCGAATTTTTATAAAATCACACAGATACTGCCTGGCTTCCAAGAGGCAAAAATAATTTGCATGGGTAGTGTATCTTGAACACCATTTTTTATGAATGCTGGGGACGCAGTATTAAAAGGATAGTCTCAAAATATATAGGTCTGGGAAATGTTAAAGGCATACTGCGTCGCTATAAAATGAATTGCACTACTATTTTCACAATTTTATTGATATTTGGTGTCAAATACACATATCTTGGTATATTTGAAGTCCCAAAACGGCTTAGTTTCAGAAATATCCCAATTTTAAATTCAAAAATGACCGTTAGCTCCGCACCCTCCGCTCATTTGCGCCGCACCCAATATTTCCCACAGGCTCTATCTGCATAGGGTGAGTTTCATCTTAATAAATCATGTTTTTTGTGCGGAAATATCACAAGTTTTGTAGTCAAAATAACAAAAGAGATGTTATTTGTGCTAAATACAAGCTAATAAGAGATTCTGAAATAAGTTTTAGTACAACTTTGAAAATTGTTTATGATTTCTAATATAACATACTTTTGTCTGGTTCATCTGAGCATGTAAATCCACACTTCCAATCTGTCATAGAGATCCATCGACATTTAGACAGTTCTTCTTCATCATCACAACCAATCCAGGCACTTTGAAAACTTGTATCAATAAGTCTGCGTTCTGCCTCACTGGCAGGTGACATCTCTAACCCAAGCCAATTACATGCTGTTTTGGGTGATGGACCACAAACGTTGTACCATTTGTTTGAAATCAAGACTTCCAGTATTCCAGATTTAGTTAGGCCTTTTCCTACTCTAAATTTCTCTGGACACATTGCGTATATATAATTACAGGAACTTCCTGTCTCATAAATTCTACGAAATGTGCTGCATTCCTGTAATTTTCTTTCTGTACCATCACACACAATGTCATATAGCCGAATGGGACCTCGGTAATCTCTTCTGTCCTTTTCTAAAACTAGACCAAATTCATAGCCGAGTTGTCTACATGATACATCTGCAAGAACTTTCTCAAGCTGGTTAGCGTTCCCTGTGTAACATACCAATCCCCAGACTCCATCATGTTTCAATTCCACCCGTCCAATGTCAGAAATACGAAGATCATTATCACTGTCATCTTTCTTGCATATAGCAATGGCATCATGGTTTTCCTGAAATATGCTTAGAGAGTTCAATCTTAACCATATTCAGTATAGCATTGGACATATTAGACTGTGATTTTACCTGTTACATTGATTTTATTAAAGACAAGAAAGCACATAGCACATGAAATGGATGCATCTGTTCTCATCAGTTGTCAGTAGTGTATAAGGAGGTTTACAAGGTAATATATAAGGTTTCTTCTCAATATTAATTGACATCATAGCCTGGTCTGGTTTATCATGAAAAGGTAACTTGATTCATTAAATCATTACCCTTGTAATTTTACCTTGCATTTCTTTGATCTCTTAAGTAATTTCATTTTGCATTCTCCAATGAATGTTTCATTCCCATGGCACATAACGCTATGAATGCCATATTGCGTTCCTGACACATTGCCCCATTTCCTTGGGTTTATTCTATCAGTTTTGCTGTCTGAAATTGTCAACAAACATAAGGATTATTCTTTTAAGGAAGAACTTCACTGTCTACTGCCCAGTCTGTTTTGGCATCTGAGGTCAGGCTCATGTCTGGAAGGAAGTGGTTTGAATCGCGGCTGTGGTAATAATTTTTGTTTTTTCTTTTTCTTTTCTTCCCTTTTGAACTAAAATACTTTATAAGGTACACTCATGTAGATCACTCAATACCTTAATTTAGCAATTTATATGTCATCAAATACAATAGAATCACAATATTTCCCCACTTATGAATTAAAAGCTATTTTATTTTTTTCTTGTGATCCAGATGGTGAATTTTCATTAACATATATTATTTGAACACTTAAGATTACTAAAGAATGATCATTATTTTTTTTAAAGAAAATCTGCATCGTGAAATTTTTCTTAAAAATGCATTTCCTCATTGAAGCCATGTTAAATTAAAATATTAATATTAATCTAGAAATAACCAGATGGTCAATCTTGCTAATTTTCAGACATTTTGTTATTAATCAGTATATCTTTCACCTTGATTTGCCAAACTCAAACTGGTGATTTATGCGGATGACACTAATATATTATGTAGTGATTCCAATCTTGATAATTTGACCACAACTGTAAATTCTGAACTGTGTGACATCAATGATTGGTTGTTGGCTAATAAACTCACTTTAAATGTTAAGAAAACAAAATATATGGTCTTTGGAAATAAGAGAAATATATCTGTGACCAATGAAATGAAAAATTGCAAATTCTAACCTAGAAAAAGTAGATGAGATAGGATTCCTGTGAGTAATTATTGATTCAAAATTATCTTGGGCTCCCCATATCAATGCGCTTCATAGAAAAGTTTCAAATGTTATAGGAATGTTATATCGAACAAATTATGCTTATACTTTAAAATCAAAGATGATAATATATAACTCTCTGATTTTTTCTCATCTTAATTACCGTAATATTTTATGGGGAAATGCTTGTAAGATTTTAAATAAAATACCTCGATATTGCAAAAGAAATTTGTTAGATTAATAACAAATTCAGAAAGATTAGCTCACACATTCCCAATTTTTCAAGATCTTGAAATACTTAACATTTATCATATTCACACAATCCAAACTGTTTCTTTCATGAAAAAAGTTATAAGCAAATCTATAAAGTTCCCTTCAAAATTATACGATCACTATTTTAAAACTAGAGAAAAAATACATTAACGTATAACTCGTATAAATTAGACATAACTTAGATATTCCTAAACATAGAACCAGAATTGGTGAAAATTCTATTAAGGTCCATGGTTCATATATTTGGAATTCCCTCAATGAAGATATTAGAAATAAACCATTAAATTCACTCATATCTCGTTTGAAAATTGACCTCCTGAGTACAGAAGAACCAAAACATTTATTTTATTTCTTTATTGTCTCATTTATTGTATTTGTATATTGTATTCATATTATATTATATTATTGTATTGACCTATGTACCACTTTAAATGTTCACAGTTTATCATGTTTATTGTAAATTTAATTATGGGCAGTTATACACCCCCTGGGGTGTCATAGCCCGTATAATGTTGTAAATTTTGTAATGAAAACTGAAATAAATTATTTTGAAATTGATTGAATTGAATTGAAATTGATTTTTTTCAAGAAAATTTGCGGTATAGAAAAAAAGTTGATTGACATTGAAGTTCTACCTTTAGCTACATTCTTCATTATCTTTTGTTTCTTAAAAATCTTCAGGGAATAACAGTAAAATACAGTAAATATGACATCATAGGATATTTATATTACCATTACTATAGTAATTTATACTATATATATAAAATATATATAATATATGGTAATATAATAATATATAATAATATTCTTACACGTCGCACGAAACTGGGGACAATTAGCGTAACATTATGGCGTCAAAAAAACAAAACAAAACTATGAGCAGCATAGGGCGCAAACAGACTTACAACGTCAAAAACGACAAGCGTCACATTTTTGTCAAGTTTAGTCAACCTAAAAATAAAATACTTTATCCTATCTAATCATGACAAAATTCACAGGGTAGCAAGATCTCGAGGACAATATTTCTAAAATGTTTTTGAATTTTGAAAAACGGTCAAGAAATTCAGTTGGGGCATTGGTAAATATTGATATGTATGGAATTTGTGGTAAAAAATCGATGCGTCACATTTTTTCAAGTCTCGAAAACCAGCTCTTATTTCAATATTATTTGCAAAATAAACAAACTGGTTATTGTTTTGTAAATTTCGCCATGACAATATTGTGCAGTAAATTTTTTTTTCAAATCAGACTTGAATTAGAAGGTTAAATGAAGGTAAACTTATTGCTCGTCCCATTCGCCTTCAAAACCTTACACAATTTTGAAAATTTTAAAAGCGTTCATATATGATAATTTGAACTGTAGCCGTTAAGCAATTGTGACGTCATAAATGAACATGTTCCATTGAATAAATTATGAAATTTTAGTGGGATTTTGATCATTATTTCAAAGGTTATCCCAATTTCAACGAGCCCTGTAAGTGTAAAGTGTTACGTCTTACAGCGTATTTGACGATGTCGGGATATATTTAACTTTAAAAATATGTTGGATCCCATCAAAATTTTGAAGAAAAAATAATTTCACTGAAATGCGAATAAAAAATACTTCAAAATGATATATAAAACACATAGCTAGCTTTTTAAATGAGGCAAATATTAACGCTCAAAGCTGAAATCAGCCCGTATTTTCTGAATTGTCCCCAGGTCTGTGCACGTCATATCTACAAAAAACTGACACTAAACAATATTTATATTGCAAATGAAACCCATGTCATGGAATATTTAATTTTCTTTGGTATAACGAAACATATGAGTTAAAAAATAATTTGTGAAGTATTCTTAGTGTTTTTATGAGGTCGCTTAGGCTGCAAAATATTTTTCATATGCTAAAACATTGAAGTTGCACATTAGATATGACATTTAACAAAGAAATAGTGTGTCCTTTGTTCAATCTTTGCAATGGTGCTAAAAAGATAATGTACTGTATAGTTGAATTTTTTATGATTAAAAATGTTCAACTTTTATTTGAAATATGCGAGAAAATTGAATATTTGAGAAATGAAGCTGACAACTTTTTTCAAAAATCTCTAAAATAACTTTTAAAGTCATGACAAACAGTAAATTAATGATAAAAACATGGGGACTTAAATGATGACCTCTTTATCGATCCTTTTACATCCCAAATCCCAAACCCATATAGCTCAGTGGTATAGCTATACCAATTACGCATAGTTGGTCCCGGATCAGATATCTGGTTCAAGCACTTTGCTTGTTGCATTAAGTACCTCAGGGTGTTTGACTGAGTGGTTAATGACTTGTAAAAAGGCTGTGGTGTGTACTTGTATGCCTGTATGAGTGCATCTTTCAGGATTATTTGTGGAAATTATGACTTTACATGCAGGATATACCCAAGAGGTATTCCTCATCTTCATTGGTGGAACAATTGATACAGTACATTACAATAAAAGCTTCTTGAATTTGTAACACATTTTCTCTTGAAAAAACATTTTTGTTACATTTTTGTGTATACCTGAATTATATAACTGTGCCTCAGATCCTACAGAATCATATCCTAATTGTCTACATATGACCTTGGCATCATTTTTATCCCAGCCATAGTTGCAGACTCTTCGCCATCTTTTTTTATAAAAGATTCCAACCCTGCCTTGGCCTTCAACTCCTTTATACCCTGAGAGTTGGACATCAAAGTCATCCATCTTGGATTCTATTGTCATTACTGGAGTAAAAATCACTGTTTTGAACCATAAATTGTTCTCAATATTTGATCTGAAATATTTCAATTCCAATTGTGGAATGATTAAGTTGAACAAAACCTGTGTGTTTATAATTATCAAGAGCATGAAACCTTTAATCAAAAATTCCACATTACTACATGTTCCTTCATAATCATTCCCCAAGTGAAAAAAATAGCGCCATACCACTCTAATAAACCACTAATAGACTACTAATACTCAACTAGTAGAACATGTTCTATTAGTGATTTGTTAGTGGTGATTTTCATTAACAGACCACTTTTTGCCATTGACTTAACAAGGTGGTTTATTAGATGAAAAAATTACCATGCAAATGAGATAACAATTATTGACCAATCAGAGAGCATGTAATATACTACTAATAGATCACTCCTGAAGTCTCAAGTATTACTAATAGACCACTAATACATCACTCCCTGAAGTCTTATACACCAATAATACACCACTACTAGTCTAATAGACGACTAACAAATCGCTCCTGAAATCTCAGAATTTTATACATCCATGAGATACAAAATCTCTTTAGTGCTAAATTCAGTAAGAAATATGTTTAAGATTTAACATGTACATCTTCTACATACCTTTATGATTATGCTGAGTAGGATTCAATAAAGTCCAGTCACCCTTCTGGTTGTAATGCTACATTTCATTGTAGAATTAATTCTCTCACATTTTAACTATTTCCACCATTTAAAAGGGGTTTCTCATTCTAAATCAAGGATCAGTTTAACACACTATTAATAGACTATTCCAAAAAAATCGAGTTAATACACAACTTACAAACCACTCCACCTAAAAAACCTTAAAGTGGTTTATTAGTTGAGTATTGCCAGTTTTAATACATAACTTAAGACCACTTGACTAAATCACTTTTCATGGTGTATTGGTGATCTATTGGTGATGTATTAGTGGTATATTAGATTTATTTTTTACTTGATCATATATGACATGTATGAAAACAAATGGATGGATTGATGGTTGGACAGACATAGGGATGGATTGATGACTGAATGTACGGACGGACAGACAGATGAAATGACAGATGGGTGGAGGAATGGATAGACTGAGGGACAGACAGATATACAGTATGTATGGATGAATTGATGGATGGACAGATGCATGGACAGAAGGATGGATGGGGAGTCTGTTAACTATATGGTGTTGTCATTACCCTGCTATGTTGATGTAGGTTCTGTGTATACAGGCTTGTCAACCTCGGAACACCTAAAATGAGTGCATGTTGAACACCTACCTTCAAATTGTGAATACCTTGGTCCAAATCTTAACATCTTGGTCCAAATTTTGATTATTGCATATATCCAAATTTTGGGCACCTCAAATTTTTCACACTCGCAGTGGTAGGTACAAGAAGATTTTAAGCAAATATGTGACATACAGGGTGTTTACTAAGTAATGACACTAAGTCTCCCATTTTGTGAAAGCAATTCTCGGTTTGGAGAACAGTCTCCTGGGCTTATAATTTTTTTCATGAAAAATATAGAAATATTACCCAAATTAAACTATGAATATTCAAAAGAGGACATTTGAATCTACAAGATGTACAAATAACAAATTGGTCTGAAGCAGGGATAAGCTCAATTAGACCGATTCAATAAAATACAAGTCTCGATTTTGGGGAAAGAAGTTCATCAGTGTACTGCGCTAATATTTTTTTGCGAAAAATCTAGAAATATTACTCAAATTAAATTATGACTATTCAAAGGAAGACATTCAACTCTATATTATGTCAAAAAATCAAATTTGTCCGAAGCAGGGATAATGCTCATTTAGATTGATGAACTTCGTTCTCCAAACTGAGAATCGTCCTTTTAAGGAATCTTGCTTAATTCCCATCATCTTAAAAATGTTATTGTGAGTTTATTTGAAATGTTAATGATGAAATAATGGTTGGTATAGCAACTTGATGACGGGTGCGTTGCAGACATCAATTTTACTCAATTTTGATGAAACGATGTATATTATGATCAGGTTTTACGTAATTTTGAGCTATGCATTCTCCATTAAATTAATTATGGTAGTTGGTTATTCAAAATATGTCCTGTATATAGTGGTTACATTCATAGTATGACATCATAATAGTCTTAGTTAAGAAGATATCTGGGATGACTGTGATCTCCACAAGTCTTAGTTGGAAAGTCTGCCAAAGTTAAACCTGCACATCGCTCCAAAACGCAATATTTTGACATATATTGTTTTTACATTTTCAAGCTCTAATATCAAAGAACAATCATTTAGTTAAAAAAAGAAAAAAAACGTGAATGCGGGACTCGAACCCGGGCCGCCTGCGTGCTGGGCCAGCATTCTACCGCTGGGCTACCAATTCATTATGAATGATGAGTGTAATTAAACGCTACTTATTTTGAATGCTATAATTCGGAAGTGATGTCACGTTCTTAATTTAGAAACCTTCCAAAAATCATATTGTCGTCGACAATCGAAGCAATTCAATGAATAATCATTGTATAATGACACATTTATCGTGAGTATTTGTACACATGATTTGCCCCATTTGTTCATCATTCTATAATCTTTCATTAAGCTCAAAATGAATAAGTTCACCCCCGAAACAACCCAAGATTGCGTTTTGGAGCGATGTGCAGGTTTAAAAAACATCATCGGAAAACAGCTGGTTTTGTGGAAATGGGAAACTTGCTGCAACATGGGTGTCATACTTCATAGTAGTCCATAGAGATAGGACAGAATGCAGATCATTATTCACCAAATGAAATTGAACTACATTTCCATGCTATTGGACTCCTAAAGAGTCAACAGTTTCATTCTGATGAGAAAATTGTAAGGATAGCCAGATTCTAAATAAAATTAAATAAGATTCGATTGGCCAAACTTGATGTTTTCCAACAATGGGGGTTCAAGGCTAAACAACAAAAAGCATTGAAGCAGAAACAAATTACTTTTAAGTGAATATTATATCCACTGGACATGGACCTAGACAGTAGAGTGTTGGATATAAATATTGTATCATTTGCTAAAGTGGTATGCTCAGAATTAAATGTTCCTTATTGTTAAATGTGACGTCATATGTGTTGTTTTAAGGACCATGTTACAAAATCGATATGTAACTATTTTATTCTTGAGAAATGAAATTTGGTATGAGCACTCATTATAACATGCCTGATAATATGTGCAAATTTAGAAAGATTGGTTAAAATCTGTAGAAATGGGAGACCTAATGTCATTACTTAGTGAACACCCTGTATATGCAATTGGCATGAACATTTTTCACTGTTTTTTGTCATTCTTTTTTTGACGTTCTTCTCCTGAAATATTTTAGTTTGACAATAATCAGATAAAATGAGTACTTGAGTGACATATTCTGTCATGCAAAACACGGACATGACTTCAATTTCTTCAGCAATTAAGTGACAAATATGCAAATTGCGGGACAGTTGGAAGGCCTGCATATGGTAATAATCAAGCAAGGTCCCCTAATATTTGAATATGCTGAATTTAGATAGTCTTTTCTTCCAGAAATGCTTCAAGAATATAAAGTGTGAGTGTGGGGTTGGAGGGGGGGGGGGTAATTCAGCAATCCCCCCTCCTCCCCATGGACCTCTTATATATTCTTGTTTAACCATCTATGATGCATTGCTGTACAATGCGAAAGGGATGTTTCTAAATTCTTAACAGCATAGGAGTCAAAACTGGTTCTTTTTTTGAGTGAGCATGTCTCTGAAACAGATCCACATTATTCCATAATACCCCTAAACCTAAATGCCGTTTCTAAATAAACCATTATTACTTGCTAAGGGACACCACTCAACTAAATATTCATCACGGGTGACAATCAATTCAGCGAATTCATTATGGCTGATAATTTATTCAACAAGTTTCAATGCAACAGGAAATGTTAATATAATGTACTCACCATAATTTATTAAATGAGTTACAATATAACAGGAACAGATATAATGTTGAATATACTCACCACTTGCAGAGAAAACTACAATAATGTTATGCAGCAGCATTGTGAACATCCACAGCTTCCTATGAAAAGTTCATTCCTCCCAGCTTGAATTAAATGTTGAGTTGCTGTGCATATATTTATCGTTATTTTCTATTTACTTACGTCATGTTTGCCATATATAGACAATGAAGATCGTCGTGATAAAACCCTGGAACATGGATGTTTATCATACTGCAAAAAAGTCATATAAATAATTTGATATTAGCATATCAAAAATCTATTTGGTGTATTTTTCAAATATGCCAGTCTGCCAATATACAAAAAATTACACAACTAGAATCAGGTTAGCCAATTAAAATTTTTATGATCAATATCAAAATAAAATAAAGAGCAACAAAATTGAATTGTGTACCATATAGATAAATATTAAAGTACTATTTATTTGTATCATGCTTTGGTAGATTGATCATGTCATGAACAAAACTGTTCAAACATTACAGTCATGCATGTAACATCATTCAGTTTTAACATTTCAATACTTAAATAAACGGACAAGAGTATAGGGTGAGGCAAAAATTTACCAATGGATGAAAGTGGCCATAGTCTCCATTCATGAATTGATGGCTTTCAGCTCACATGGTGAGTTATGGTTGGCTTTGAAGTGTGTGCTTGTCTGGCAAGGTTACATGTATAAATATGTGTTCGTGTATTTCAAAATATGTGACCATGGAGTTTACATAATCTCTTACACCTTTTAGGTTAAAAATAAAAGGGGCAATTTTGAAGTGAGTTATTTACCCGGGTTATTTATTTTGGAAGAATATAGTCCGGAGTAGGGATACTAGCGGTTACCGTTGGTTATTTGGTTTTCTGTATAAAAAGCTCTTTCTCCTTTTCTGTCCCGTCGCAGCGCCATCTAGTGTTTGATAGATGAATCAAGGTTTATTCTCGATAGGGTAAGTAGTAATCTATCAGGAAACATTTACAAGTTTGGTTAGAAACAGAATTTTTATAGATGGCGAAGTGATTTTTGAGACTATGTAGAGCAGAATAATTTTCTGAAACAGGTAGCTTTACGGTGGTAGCTCTCTCCAGATTCAGTTATCTCAAAAACGGTGTGGTCACCGTATGCTTATTTTGTAACGGCAAACTAGACAAGACTCCAATGAACACTGGGCACTGTTTCGCTGAGCTAGATCTGTGCCCATGAATATATTATGAAATGAAACGTTATAATGGTCGTCAATGGGATTTTTTACTGCAATCTTGACCCGAATATGTGTTAAGGCGACGCTATATTAAATAATAAGTACAAAAAATGACTGCCATATTTTTTTGATAAAGACACATGTTTTTAAAATCTGTTTACCTTGTATATGAATTGTGTATCTTGACTAATGAAACATGTCAAAGTTAACATCACACATAAACGCATTTTTCCAAACTATGAATTGGAGGTGCATGGATCCCCAAAGCTAGCATGAAGAGTGCGAAGTGAGGCTAATTTTTGAAAGTTTCAAGGAGTAGCCTTGCAACAGTCACACATTTGCAAGAGTCTAAAATTTCCACAAATCATCTTACCTTACCAAGGAACAACGAAGGAGCACGAAAATGTGTACTTCTTGCATTGTTAGAGTATAATAAAGCTCAAACCATTGTGAATTCTAAATATTTCATGTCTACCATTTTGTTTCCTGGAACTATTTTTTAGTCCAGAGTTATCTTCATTCATGTTTCCATTGTTTATCATTCATAAAGCCTCTATCATGTATCTATCATGATAATTACACTGTAATAGATAAAACATACAAGTGATAATCCATGCCACTTGGTGTAGTCACAAAACTTGCATGAGGATTAATCAGGAAGTCTAGAAGTAGTTCCGGCAAACAAAATGTGGACATGAAATATTTGGAATTTACAATGGTTTGAGGTTTATTATACTCTAACAATGCAAGAAGTACACATTTTCGTGCTCCTTCGTTGTTCCTTGGTAAGGTAAGATGATTTGTGGAAATTTTAGACTCTTGCAAATGTGTGACTGTTGCAAGGCTACTCCTTGAAACTTTCAAAAATTAGCCTCACTTCGCACTCTTCATGCTAGCTTTGGGGATCCATGCACCTCCAATTCATAGTTAGGAAAAATGTGTTTATGTGTGATGTTAACTTTGACATGTTTCATTAGTCAAGATACACAATTCATATACAAGGTAAACAGATTTAAAAACGTGTGTCTTTATCAAAAAAATATGGCAGTCATTTTTTGTACTTTTTATTTAATATAGCGTCGCCTTAAATTAGATCAATCACTTTAAGTTTTTTGAAACAAAGTGCAGCAAAATAGCTATAAAGCAAATGTTCTGAATGGTCTACAGCATTGATTATGTCACCACCAAAAGTGGTGACATAATACTAATAGTGTCTGCCATTGAGAGCCCACAGGCTGCGGGCAATACATACTGCAAAAATCATTGAAAGATGAACAGGTATTGCCCTCCATAAGAAGGAAATATTTATTTTATCATGTTATTGCTAGACATTCTCTATGATCATTTATTTTAATCATTAAATATATCATAAACTCATAAGTTAACACAATTAAATTATGTACAAGTATCAGTATAGTACACTTTATTTTTGTCCAGTGCAGTTGACATAATTCCTGGGTGGGCAATACGCTGGGCAATACATCTTTTATTATCTTAAAATTGAGGGAGCTGTGAAATATGCTATGGTATCTTTGATCTTATGGTACTAAATCAGTCAATCATATCAAACAATTTCTAGCAATGATATGATAATAAGCAAAAATTTCATTCTATGAAGGGCAATACCTATTGCACGTTCAATGATTTTTGCAGTATGTATTATCCGCAGCCCTTAGGGCAAGGGAAATACATGCTACAAAAATCATTGAAAGTCCAACAGGTATTGCCGGAAACATAAAATGAAATATTTGTTTTATTATATCAACTAATAGAAATGACCTTCTCATGGTAAGATGGGGGGGCAGGAGGGGGTGCGATGTTGTGATTGCACCCCCCCCCCCATAACTAATGAATATATGACCATGATGATAGAGGAAGAAAAGAGCCTTAAAATGCTTTTTATTTGAAGCTTCTAGCTCAATTTTGAAGGAAGTTACATACATTTTTGTAAATGTATTTCAAAACAAATATTACAAGTTTTCTAATGATCTTATTATGTTATATCATACCTGCCAACCTACCGTATTTTTAGGGGAATCTACCGTAACTTTATCGTTTTTCAGTAAAAAATGACAAACTACCGTAATTTTTTCCCGTAAAAACGCCCGTAAAAAATCTACCGTATTTTTTTCGAAATCTACCGTAAATTTAAAAAAAAAAATTCGTTTATTCCATGAGAACAGCCGTAAAATCAACGTATATTTTTGAAAATCTACCGTAAATTTTTGAAAATCTCGTATTTCTGCTAAAATCAACAGTATTTTTGTTCAAACTACCATAAAATTTCCCGTTATTGTTGGGAAATGCTGAAAAATTGAAGTCTTCCTGTACTTTCCCTGTAATATTCCTTCACCAACCCGAATATAAATAGGTATCGGCAGGTCTGTGGTTATCAGGTTATTGCGCATTTATCTAAGTAAGCTTGCGTGTAATCAGTCCAAACACCAACTACCACTAGCTAGAAAGAATTCTTTCTGCCATGATTTTTGTAGTTAACCAAACCCTTTTGTACATAGATCTTTATTCCGAATGCAACAAAAATATGATTTTAGTTGCTCTTCATCTAAATAAATGAGTGGAAATGACAAAAACTACTTGTTTTAGCGTATGAAATTTGTTATGATCAGTAATGAATGCCTAATATACATTATACATATATAGTTTAATCAATTTGTTTACAGTACGATAAAATGTTGTATTTTTCATCAGAACACATTATATCAGTAACAAATACATAATTAAAAAATAAAGCATTGAGTTTTGGTTTATTGTAAAAGTATTGTGGTATCCGAATCTGAACGATGTCTCAGGGGAAGGGTTTCAGCAAATGCTCATAACAGATTATTTTTGAAAGACAATTGATCTGTACTTATTTTCTATTTGTGCCAGACAAACACATTCAATATCATTAGAGACTTGCGAGTGAACAAATCAATATTTAATACCATATGATTCCAATGTTATATGAACATTATGTCATTTCAATTCGTTAAAGTGATAGATCATCTAAGATGGTGAGTAAAAACGTGTAAAATCCATATTTTGTATTTCAGTAAATGTTTCATTCATGGTATTTCCAAACATCCTGATATCTAAAAAACTGGTTAGAAGGTGAATAAAAGTGGAGATATGAATATTTTGTTCGTATTTTGAATCAATCTAGATTTATTGTAAAAGAGTTGTATTCATATACATGTACATTTTGCTGAAACATTAAAATCCAAAGTTGCTGTCAGTCCATTGTAGGCATGGTAAATGTAGAATAAAAAGTGTTAAGTCTCTATTTATTCTTGAAAATAGTATCTATTTTTTCTTGAAAGTAATAGTTTCGTATAATTCTCAGGTGGTAGTTCTGCTTTACAAACTGTAATTATCAAAAGCACTCTTGCAGTAAAATATGTATTCACAATAACAAAAAGGCCAATAAGACCATGTAAACATTGTATTAATATAGAAAACCGCATTGTATAAAGGTTTAAAGGGTTCCGATTAGCATCCCGTATAAAAACAATATGGCGGCTCCAGGCGAATCAACTGGATCAGTCCATTTTTAAGAAATAAGGGGAGTTCTGTAAAATCCAGTTTATTGAAATTGTCTTTGAGATAAAGTAATCCGTTTATAATGATTTTGAAAACGTTATCCAAAGAGTGATTGCGTTCAAATAACACATGTACAACAGCCAATATAAATTCTTGTATTAGAAACCGGTTTGCGCTTTGTTTCATTTGTAGGATATTTCATATGCCAAGCTGTGTGCTATTACGTTATGGGGAAATTTAGATGCCAATTTTTCCTTATTATACACAAATAGAAGATCCTGAAACTTCACTAATAAATGTGGAATTGATTTGTCAAAATAAAAATCACCCTTTTATAAATGTGTGACGATCTATAATATACTTATGCTATATAACAGTTAGAGGTGTTGACACAACGACCTCGAACCTGTGAACCCTTGAGTATTATTCCGGGATCGGGCCTTTTATACTAAACGGTGAGCAACACCAGAAACGAGCGTTCGATTTGCTAAACGATATGCGTCACCCTTTAACTACCGCATTTTTCAAAATCTACCGAAAAATACCGCATTTTGGCAAATCTTCCGCAAAAGTACCAGTTTTTCAAAAAATTACCGTAAAAACTACCGCAATTTTCAAAATCAACCGTAAAACTACCGCATTTTTCAAAATCTTTCGCAAAAGTACCGGTTTTTCAAAATATTACCGTAAAAACTACCGCAATTTTCAAAATCTACCGTAAAACTACCGCATTTTTTCAAAATCTTCCTCAAAACTACCGGTATTTCAAAAAACTACAGTAAAAACGATCGCATTTTTTCAAAATCTACCGTAAAACTACCACATTTTTCAGAATCTTTCGCAAAACTACCGGTTTTTCAAAAAACTACCGTAAAAACTACCGCATTTTTAAAATCTACCATAAAACTACCACATTTTTTCTAAATCTTCCGCAAAACTACCGGCTTTTTTCAAATTTCTACCACAAAATTACACTTTTTTCAAAAATCTACCCCAAACCTCTGAAACTACAGTTTATTTTAAAAATCTACCGCAAAAACTACCGTATTTTTTTAAATCTACCGCAAAAACTACCGTTTTTTTAAATCTACCGCAAAAACTACAGTTTTTTCTAAAATCTACCGCAAAAACTACCGCAATTTTGTTGAAAAATACCGCAAAAACTACCATATGTTGAAAAAATCTACCGCAAAAATACAGCAATTTTAAAAAATCTACCGCAAAATTTTGGTCTTAGGTTGGCAGGTATTCGTATATTTTGCTACAAACCCTTTTTGTTCAGAATGTTTTCAATAATTGGTTTTAGAGAAAAACATTGTTGAATTCAGTTCACCATATCGATACATATCCTTTAACGCTAACTATGGAAAGATATTCTCTTACTCTTCACATTTTTATTGCGTTGCACCTGTTATTGTAGAAGAGACCTTTAATCATTTTCATTAAATCAGTTTATTTTCTCAATTATATACAATATCATACTTTACACAATTACATGTACACTTCTTAGAATATTTCACAAATCGTTGTAAATATCATTATGTCATGTATATGGCATCTAATACTTCTTGGGGGGTCATAGCCACTACAACCTGTATATATGTTACTTAGATTTTTATAAAAAAAACTGTATTTCACTATATTATTACCTGTATTTCACAAATGTTGTGAATACATGTACTTGAATTCCTGAACCTGAGAAATGCTTCTTCAGTCAGTATTGTAAGGAACCCAGTGTGATTGATGAAAGGTGGATGAAAGGTGTTTTAATTATGTCACAATGTTTCCAGCGGTCATGATCAATAAAAATGTACTTGTATTAATAATATATATATTGCTTCTTTTTAAAAGAAGATTTAATAAATTGTTATATAACCTTATATAAACATATAGGCCTATCCTTTAATAACTAACTATAACAATATATTTACAGCACTGAACAGGGCAATTAAGGGGGCTCAATCTTGATTGTCATACTATAGAACCTCAAAGATTATTAAACATCTTAAAACTTTCTCTATTATTTGATTGATAATGCTATTTCATTTTGCAATCATTTTAGGAGGGGAGGTTTAGTATGACAAAAGAGGTTGGTTCTCTTTAAAAGGATTAGAAGAGACAGAGATGGATTGAAACAAAGTTTTGAAAAAATATATCAATTTTGAAATACTTTTTCTTCTTATTCTTTGCCATTCCAAAGTTTTAAAATGCCCAACAGTTCTGACTCTATTCCATGATAATCCTTTAAATTATAAGGTTATTTGTGCATTTTAAAATCTTAATCAATCTCTTCTCATCTTTAACACATATTGGTAAAATATTATGCTTTATTAAATACTTGACATATCCAAAGTTTACCATTGGTATACTATTACTATTGGTACTTGGCATGTATTGTATATATCTTTTTGACAAATGAAAGAACCAGGTTTAGTATGGCAAGTGATTTTAGATGGTCATATCTTTCATTCATTAACACAATATGTTATCATTCAAGTTAATTCTCAAGGATAATAAAAATATCAATCAAACAATTCGAAAAATTATGAATAAGGGTCCCCATGTCAACACTTTTTTTAAAATGTTGAACCTGTTTACTAAAAAGTGGATCTTCTTTTTTTGATTTTTATTGCATGAAAAGATAATTGAACAAGGAGTCTAGAACTTCTATAAAGTAGAATGGATTGAAAGTCAAGTTTTGTAGACATCCATTTTCGATGACCAAAATTATGCTGAAAAAATGGATAGCATGAGTTTTCCCTATGGGAAAATAATACGGGATATGTGGTTTTTAACTTTGTCGCATTTTAATTCCCATCCCCTTTTCAGAAGTTATTAATAGTGTAGAATAACCTTTTAATTTTGTGTTGAGAAAAACAAGATCCTCTTTTTATTAGAAATAGGCCTAACATTTTTTTCAAAAATGACCACACGGGTCCTAATCCATACTTTTTCAGAGAGTTGGTTGATATTTTATTATGATGGGGACTCCACTTATAGTAAAACATATTGTTTTAATGAAAACCACTGTATTTATGGCCAGAAAATACTCACTTGTCCATACTAAATCTGGTCCTTTGACAACCATATTTTTCAAGCTTTGTGGCCTCAATGAATACACCTCTTGGATAGCAAACATGTAAATGGACTGACTATATTGCAATCAACATGCCAAGTAATAATAATCAGATCATAATGTATACTAATCTAGTATATAAAAATTACTTTTCTTTCTCAATAGTCCAATCATTACAACCCATAATCTGAGATTCTACATTATTAAAAGAACCTTAATTATGATAACAGTCTCAATCTCTCACCAATGTGCAAAACTCAAGCGTACATGTACTAGTTGAGATATGGCTTTATGATAGATTTAATTATTTTATAAAATAATATTGCTCCCACCATTACATAATATTCCACAATTAGTGGCGGTACATAGCAGATTTATATACAAATGTACATTATATTTCATTTCACTGTACAAGCTCCCATTCACCTTGGAGATAAAAGTGCTAGATTCGTATCAATACATTTCTAGTTTCAATTATTGTTAATTTCATAATAAATCTGAAAATCAACATTAATAATAAATATATGTCATTTTATTTAAATAAGACTTGCCACACTGTTGCTTTTTTAAAAAGCATTGATGGATATTTTATAGCTAATTGCACTCGTTATATATTTATAACTTATTATTTATTTATTTTCCAAATGTAAATATGCAGGCATTTGTAACAATAGGAATAAACCAAAATGAGGTGAAATGTTATTCCATTGGAATTTTATTATTTCATTTATTGTTCATTTATTGTTAGCATACCTTGTTTATAAAAATAAAAAGCATATTCACATATTTAGTACCTCTCAAGGAATGATTTAATCTATCTGATACTGAATACATTTACAAGTAATATACAACACCATGGATAATAATGATGTTGTCTGAATATCATAACTTAAAGTTCATAAAAAATGCCCCATCCAGAGTGGTATAAAATAATTTAGCAACAATACAACATATGTTATATGCAACATATGTATGTACCATCTCATCTACTATTACCATAAAACAGATGAAAATGACATTAAGATTTGATCTTAGATCATATCAAAAAATTTTCCTTTGGTAAAATATGCTTCACATCACCTGTCTAAACAGTGTAAGCACTTAGTGATAGGGACAGTTTGATACTATATCTAGTATATTATTGATATTTCGTATCTATAGAGCACAGGACAATCAAATGCTCCATCTATTAAACAACAAGAAATAATTTCAATTAATGTCCCTGAGAGTTCACTTAAGAAACATCTCAAATCTGATACAAGAGATAAATTGAAATGAATCAGTGTTGGTGAGCCAGGGAATCTAGGTGGACAAGATATCAGTTTTATAGTTGATAGATGAAGTAAATTATTACAGTTGAACATTATCTGTTTTTGTTGAGGATTCATAGTATGAATGTTTTAATATGATTTTAGTTGAGTTTCTATGCACTAGATGTCTCTGCCTGTTGGTACCTCTCGTATCGAATGTCTCGCTGTCGTTTCCAACAATAACAACACACAGAGATTGCAATGAGGACTACCAGTGCAACACCAACAGAAATCAATATAACCATGTTATCTGGAAAATACATCAAAAAATTATAGCTATTCAAAAAACAGAATTGTCACAGTATATGTATTTATTTTCATATTTGCGTATAATACACAAGATGCTTGAAAAAACAATCTTGATTTATATCATTAAATATTCAAAATTTAGTCAAAGGGTAATATGAAAATTGATTTATTAAAACTGATGAATATTCAGGTTTAAAGGAACTTTCTAATATACCTGCCATATCTGCCATGTTATCTGACCTGAATTAGTCAGCTGTGGTGAAACTGATAACTACCTACTCACATCTGGATTATTAAACAATAAATTAATCAACTTACTTTTAGTCATTGAAGTTTTACCACAGGCACCCTGGAGTTGATTATATGTGATAACAACATCACTTGTTAGCTTCACAAACTCACTAAAGGGACAATCCAGTTCGCAGCCTAGAATTACAAGCAGACCATGTGAATCCTGTGAATCCTGTGAATAGGCAATGGCCAATGAATATAGAAGTACAGTAGTCAGAATAATCTGGCAAAGAACATGTCAATTGAAATATCAAATCTACCATACCACCGCTGACACCAATATATCATTTGCACCCGGATGGCGTCTGTGAGTGGAATACTGTCCTACAAGAGGCAGATATAACTGTGGGGCATGGTCTCAAAGTAAAGGGAATCAAGTATAGCAATCCAGGATAGCAAGCAGCTTCTACACCAAAGCTACCCTAGCTTAAGTGTTTTGAAAGATCACTCAGTAGAGTATTACACTCAAGATTCAGAGGTTCCAGATTCAAATCCCACCAACATCAGTACATGTATAGGTGGTATATACCCTTCCAAATAAGTTTGATAGTATATATATGCCCCTCCAATACAGGGAGAGGGTTTTAATATCAACTTTTAAATGCATAAGAAACTTGGCAAACATTTTGCAGAGATGTACATATTTACATACATACATGATAACCACATAATATTTTAAGGACATATCTACCTTTTATTCTGAGTTGATTAGGTGGTGTATCTGTATCATTGTAATTGGTTGTGTTCCTCTGCCAGACTCGTACAAAATATTCCTGCTTAGTTTTGTCATAGTGCAGCTCAGTCATAACAGCTGTTGCATAGGGTGGTGGGAGGTCATTGTCTATCTGGATAGCACTCCTATAGGCAGACACTGTTGTATCATGCTGAGAATAAGGGACAAAGAAAATAACATAATACAATATAAGTCAATACAAGTAAAGTCAACGTTAGAAATGCTATGGCAAGTAAATTCTATGTAAGTAAGCCAAATGTCAGTTAAGTAAGTGTAATGATTAACCTAATTAATTATATTTAATGTACTTCTCTTGGAGATAATGGATTGACCTAGAAGATGCACCTGTAGGTAACCAGCCAACTCAATCCCTAAGACAACTCATCCCTGGACGACTCACCCCCTAGACAACTCATCCCCTTGACAATTCATCCCCTAGACAACTCATCCCCTGGACAGCTCATCCCCTAGACAACTCATCCCCTAGATAACTCATCAGCTGGACAACTCATACCCTGGATGACTCATCCTTTGGCATGTTTGAGTGATTTAATGTCATATTATCAATTCAGATTTGATTTTTAAATGTTTTGGTTATGAATATGATCAGTTTCAAAAACATATATTACATGAACAAAGACATACTGGAGGGGAAATCTGGAAAATTGATAAAAAACTGTGATATTGTAAAGGAGATAATAGACCAATAAATCTGTGATTTGTTTTGTAAATATTTACTTTTAATTTTACTTTTGACATACAATTTCAATATTATATTAACGGATTGAAGAAGCTCCTTTGATATGTTGTAATATGTTTGTTGTTCATATAGCTCAAATATTCTTTAATCCAAAGATCATTTTCTCACAGCATTTACAAATGAAGCTACTTAGTTCATGGTTCCAAGTTTTTTAGTTTGTAATGGGGATGGGGATGAGTTGTCCAGGGGATAAGTTGTCTAGGAGATGAGTTGTCCAGGGAATGACTTGTCTAGAAGATGAGTTGTCTATAGGAGATGAGTTGTCCACCTGTCTTCATGATCAGAAATTATTCATAATCCAAGACATAATTGTCTAAACTTTTTCCAATAACCTATGTGGCTCTTTGACCTTCACTGAATAAAGTATGTGTCAACACTTACAGCAGAGTATATGTGTGTTGTGATATATGTATTTTCATCAGTTGTATCATTGGCCATGTTAACCTTCATGTTTTCCACCATTTCATCCACTAACATGCCTACAACAAAGATACATCAAAGATAATTCAAAGAAATTGGGTGGAACAATCTTTCAGGAGCATTTCAGTAAACAGGAAATGCATTACAGTTTATTGAAAACACATATATTAAAAAAAGGCATATCTCAGTGTTACATACTATGGTCTCACTACACCAATAACATTATAATACAGACCTCCCCGTAGCTTTGCTTTCTCTCTTGTATTGAACATGTAGTAGAAGTCCATAGTTTGCATCTCCTCTAGTAAGCTGAAGATTGTTCTATTGAAGAATGTTTGGTTTGTAGCCCAGGCAGGTAGACTTAGTCCATGGTATTGCTGCAAACAAAATTGTTCATGTTATCTATATAAACATTCAATTCTTGTTAATAAATTAGACTTTTTGGAATTGACCTTTTAGTGACAAAACAGCATTGAATGCAAAACATTAAATATGCTGACTAATTACAGCTCCAGTTACAATTTGAGGGAGATGCAACCTTGAGGTAGCTAGCTGAATTTGTATTAAATAACCTCTATATATTTCTTCAACAATTAGAAGTTGGAAATCAGACTAATTTTTACCTGCCATCTATGTCTAACAAAACATATTGTAATTTATATATAATAAAAATGGAAATTAAAAAAAACAAAGATGATATAGTATTCTATTATGTTAACGGACTTACCTCACAAAATAAAATGTCATATATTCCCCAAATGTCTCTTATATTTTCATGTGGCACTCCAGTGGACTCAGATACATAGATGTAGAAGTCCTGCAATATACAACAGCAATAATGCACCATTTTTATTAAAAAAATATTGAGAAAGACTACTGTATTTATTATAATTCATGACTTCTGGAAGATGCTGTTTCACAATGAGTCAAAGATACTGTAGGTTTATCCCATAAGTTAGTCATGTAACCACATGTAGGCAATGCTACATGCAGTGGGTAGAGAAATTTGGCAACAATTTAGAATTTGGTGATCACTTTTAAAAATGCTGCCAGGAAAGCTTGCAAAACTGCAAAACTAAGCATAATTATAATAATATATAAAATAAAACAAAATCAATGAATAATACAGGGTGACACAAAAAACACCACCCACAAATTTTGGAATAACTCTCAGTAATTATTGAATCTTCATGATTTTTTATGTGTAAAAGGGAGTCATAAGTAAAAGGTGGTGTTTTTGGGTCACCCTGTATAAAGCTAAAAAAGCTGATGCTTTTAATTTGGTGGCCATTTTCAAATATCGGTGCAACAAATAGAAACAATGCAACTATTGAAAAATAAAAATCTCACAGAAGAGACAAATATTAAGCTTCTTCAACATTTTTGTTTCAGTATTTCACACACATCCTGTACTACCATGTATCTTCTACACCTCAAATGAAATTGTACCTTAAATTTCTTTTCATGCTGCTGTATCTCTGGCATCTCAAATGTCTGCTGTTGCAGCTCATCGTATCTTGGGCAATCATAATCAGTTTTTAAAAGCTAGGAAAGGAAAACATGAATGTCATTATAAGTACAAGATTCATGAAAATCAGTCAGCAATATTAATAGGCTTTAGTGGTGGGAAGGTATTCTCTATAATTCTCTTTAATACTCATACATTAGCTCAAAAACATTTTCAGAAAATAACATGCATGGTATGACTAGTTAAGCCGGAAGGATAATAAATCATTATTAGTTAAACTCTTCAAAAAACCAATCTGAATCATCATCAAGCAGTGCTGTTTGAACAGTACTGAACAGCGCAATTCAAGCACTGTTCTGTACACTGTGCCTAAAATCTCTGTTGGTATGTGATATGAAACATCAGTTTAACCCTTTATTATAATAAACCCTATATCCAATAGCTGTCAGTATAATCTTTATTAATACCCTATTTACTCACTGGATCATCTTCTGTTGGCCTAGTGTGGACAGGGATTGGCTGCCAGGGGATATTTGGGTTCCATAGCTGACGTCCTGCTGGTGGAAATAGTCCTGCTAGGTTACTATAGGCACTCATTAGTGTCCTATCCATGTCAGTGCTCCTCACATTCACCTAAAACAGGTCAAAGAACACATATAATAGTAAAATGAAAAACACATAAAGTAAAACAAAAAACACATAAAGTAAAACAAAAAACACATGGACGTATTCTCTCTAATGAGTGCACAGTTTCAACGAGTGCACATGCGACTTTTATGTTGAATATGGTCTCGAGACAATGCAAAATTTAATGCCTTCATTTCGATTATTGATTGATTATATTTAATACAGGAGCTGTAGAGTAAGTTAACCTTAAAAGATTGTGGGTGATATCTTTATCTCAATTTTTTTGTATGTGTGCTTAGCTAATGACACAGTCATTAGGCAAATGTTGAGACAGCCCCATAACACAAGGTCATGTCAGGTCATGTGTCCTATATGACTAATTTTATATCCTAAATTGTAAACATGTCTCAATTACACACCTCTCATCAATTCTTTAAGAATAAGAATATTAAACCATAATATAAGCAAGTTTTTCAAAAACTAGATAAAACTGGAGATAATGAAAAAAAACAGAAAAACAAATCTTTTGAAGGCTGTCTACTACCAAATTAACCAACAGAGGTTGTTAATCTGACAATGGAACATATCAACTCTCTAACTACAGGGTAGACCAAAAAACTAATACCATTGTAAATTTGTTGCTTCAAATACAACTGTATTGACATGCATCTAAATTTTGCATTTTTGCAAGGTGTAACAGTAATCGCGAAAATAAAATGCATTTGAAAATTTAAATATTTTTGATATTGACATTGTACCTTGCTTGTATTGGTGATGAAACAATTTTGAATAAGTATCAAATATAATTTACAAATACATACTAAATATACACTAAAAAGGAACATATGTGATATAGTTTTCTATATTTTTAGTTTATCGGTAGACGGTATCTGCTCTCAAACTTTGTTATGTAGCATGTAGCAAACACCTGAGGACGTGGCTATGGCTGCCATCACCCTTCAGTATCCATCTACTTCTTAACAGTGTGACATCTAAGGTAGAATTCAGAAATCACAAAAGAGCTAGTGTCACTCAAGAACAATCAATGTACATTAATTAGTGAATTATCAGGGGAGCCCTGGAGACAGGAAAGATCCTCTTTCAGCGGCAGTATAAGTGGGTTTGCAGTACACAATTGGTGATATGTTTACTTCAATATTCATTAATAAGTTAGATCACCCCAGAATTATCCAATGATAGTCCTATATTTCTGCTTCCTTCTAGATTTCAACGAAACTCAAAAAGGAAGAAATGAAAAAAGAGAATATGAAACCGTGTCACTTTTAAGTAACTCCTAGCATTTTTAAGATCAAGCTCAATGTGTTTATCATTCCTTTTATACAATTTGCTGTTTTGGCTGAACATGGTGGTAAAAAGGTGACATCACCGGAATAAATAGATAATAGGCTCAATTTGAGGCACATGGTTGCTGCAGCATAGACCTTATAGTTCTACACTATCACACCGGAATAGCCTGACAATGGTAAAGTCAGATACCGTTGTCACAAATAGCGGACATAACCGTCGCTTCAATTAGATTTTCATGAACTGTATGTTTAATTGAACACCTAGACTAAACTCCTTTGGAACAACAATCAATCAAAGTGTCTTTATACTCATTGTACAGTTAATAATGTTCTACCATCAAAATAAAATCTCTAATTTAACCGATCAAAATGAGATATGGGACAACAGACACTGTATTACCATATGCCATTGTCTTTGTAAATTATTTTAAGGTCAAGTTCCGTTGTCATTGATGATATCGAAGATGCTATATTGTGGCGATTCACGACCCAATTTGATCGAAATTTGGGATTTCATATGATACACCATCACAAGAGCTTAGTACTTGCACAGAATTAGCAATGATAAAGTCCCATGAAATGAGAACCGAGGTGTTTTCGTAAAACACCGACTGCCGACCACCGACCAGTCACTCTCCACAGTTGGGTACATGTGGTCGGTGGTCGGCTGACGGTCTTTTACATAAAGATGAAAAATGCAAAATTAGAAGTAAAACTAAAACTGGGAATCCAATGACTATAGTACCTTTACTAGGTCGTGATTTAAAAACGTATAATTATCATTTCAAATCACGATGAAAACGTTACATCGTCGTGGTGTGTAATGTCAAATTTTTAAGTCATAGATCCCGGCCAGATTCTTTTGTAGTAGGATCAGTAGCTCAATAATTATTCTTTGAGCCTCCTACTACAAAACGATCTGGCCAATATCTGTGTTTTAACCCTACTATCACACCAAACTAGTTCTCACTACGTTCTCGAAAACGGGCTTCAACTGTGTACGAACGGACTTGACCTACTAAGAACCGTTTGGGATCTATTTACAAACTTCATCGAACGTACTCGAATGGGTAGGTCCTCTAACACTTAGACAATGCTCAAAATGTTCTCCGTGGTCGTCACGTTCTACAATTAGAACGAGTGACAACGTACTAACGACGAGCTGGACGTACTACGAACGGAACCGTCGTACTTCAACCCTACTAGGGACGTTTTTACAACGAGTTGAACTGTCCGAGGACGTGTTGAGAACGAGGTAGAACTAATTGCAAACGGGTTTAAACTGATTAAGAACGTATTTAACACTGCTTATTAACGAGTTAGCAAAAATATAGCTATCACACCAAACAAGTTGCCACTGCGTTCTTCAAAACTGGTTTTAAACTGTGTGCGAACGGAATGAACGTAGCTGCAACTTTCTAAGGTCTATTTACGAACTTTATGAACGTTCTCAGACGGGAATGTGATTTTAGAATTTTGAATCGATTCAAAATTCGATGGCGACCATACCGTTCTGTAATCAGGTCATGTTGACCTTCTAGACTAAGGGACGCGTTCTACGACGTTGCACACCGACGTGGTGCGACCTGAACGAACTGCGAACGAGATGGACGTATTGAAGACTGTTTAAGAATGAAGAAGCTAATTATTTCAGACACATTTCCCGACCACAGCCAGATTGAGCCCGTTTTACGACGTTTTCGTAGGACTGGCAAGAAGGGATAAGAACTAGTTTGGTGTGATAGGGGGGTAAGTGATGTTTCAGTTGTTAGAAGACCAATTTCATCCTGGTTAGTCACTTTGGAAAAAACGCACGTAACATTGCATTAAGTTCATTCTTCATTCATATGAAACGCAATAACAAAAACACATAATCCCGATAAGAGAACGCATGTAACATTATATCGTGTTCAGTATTCAGCAGGCTATGACGATAACAAATCATTTTTGTTTCGAAATTGTTAAATTTCAGTAAAAAATTAGGATAGATTCCCGTAGAAACGATAGGTTGGTTAATGATAGGTTAGGACCTAAGGCAGGGCAATTAATCGAGAGGAGACGGTCATGACCAATTTGTTTGCTTGCCATTCGTTGCAAGGTACAAAATCGGTAAAAAACGTTGCCTAGTCCAACGATTGACATTCAAAATCAAATTATTAATATCACAGTGTATAACCCAAACGCTCCTACATGCACGACGGAGCGTTTCATTACTGAAATTAAACAAAGAAACGCTCCGAAGTAGGAAAACTGGCTGGCGGGAATGATGAGCCGTCTGACGATTTCCCCAATAATGGGAATAAGAGGTATGAGTTACATATTTCGAGTATACCATTCGATGGGTGTGATATTCATGCTGTACTTGGCTGGCTGTTGACGTTTGAAGCAATTAGGAAGAGCTGTACGAAGCAGTATAGTTATCAAAATCCAAAAACGTATTTGTCATTCTACCGGTCAAAACCCCTTTTGTCGATATATGTGATTAGTTGAGCCAAGATTAGAGCACCAACGTTTATTTTAGTCAAATTCCAATGCTTCAACGCACCATACATTATCGTAATAGTGATTTGATGACCGAAAATCCAGTTTTAAAAATGATGACATTCTCATATTCAAGAAACGCTCCGATCTGGTTAACACAGTGAACTGGAAACGCTCCGGTAGTCTAGACCTGTTTAGGAAATATATAGCTTGCCTTTCCTTTTCAGGAAGAGAAAGAAAAGATCTATTATACCCCTTGGCATCAAAAGAAGAAAGATTAATTCACATATAAATTTTCTTTTTTTTCTATAGTTTTATGATTTAGCACACATGTAGGCATGACATCATCTAATGTAGGCTTAAATCAGCTAGTTGCACGTTTAGCACCACCAGGTTCAGATGTTTCAATTTGCCTAACAAGTACAACACGTTTTTGAGAGAAAGATTCGATTCGGAACTCTACTCTAATAATCTGAAAATGATATCAAACCAAAATGGTAAGAGCGTTTCTAAAATTGTGCTCTAAATCGACGGAGCGTTTCGAGGAAAACAAGCGATTTCTTGAGAACAAGTAATGCATTTGGACTGGGATTTTAGGAAATGAGAATATATGAGTTTGTGATCTACTACTTTAACAGAAAGATTAACGTTTTCATAGAAATACTAGTTTAATTCGTAATTTGTGGTCAAATCGTCATCTTCAGATTCGTTCGATCTACACTAAGGAGCTTTGATCAAGCAAATAACAGTTTACCACCAGAAGTTGAATAAATAAGATCTTTGCTCACGGTATTGTTCATCGAATGGTACATAATATTTCACCATAACATATGATATGTAAGAGAAACGAGAGAAACAATACTGACGGTCATAGTGAAATCTTCATTAGCCGCCATTTTATTTCGCTCTTGGGCGTTTCCGCGTAAATGAAACGCTCCGTCATGCATGTAGGAGCGTTTGGGTTATACACCATGAATATTCTAAGGCTACAAATATGTTCGGTCTTTTACATGATATGGTCGGTCTTTTACACATTTTCTTCAAACCCTGTTTTGAGGCTACCAGTGGAAAACACCGACCGGTCGGTGGGGTCGGTCTTTTCCGAAAACCCAGACCCGAGTGATTGAAGAGTTGAAGCGACAGTTATGTCTGCCATTTGTGACTATAGCTTTGATCTCTAGTTTATGTTAACTATTTAGTTTGCTGTCTAGTTCCTAAAAACTGACATTAACTTACTATATTTTGAAAGATAGGGGGGTAAGTTTCGGGATTTTAACACAATCGCGAAAAGCGTGAAACTAAATCACACATGAAAAATACTGGGAGTACAGTACTTCTTCTGAAGCAACCTAACTTACTTGTATAACTATGTTATTGAGTGAACTAAGTACATTGTGTATATGTCATTTTGTTCCAAAGAGGATGAGATGGACATTTCATTTCATTCCCAAGATTTTGATAGAAAAGAACAAAGAAACAATTATACTAAAATATAATTTTTTTATTAAGACTACTGTAGATTGGGTTAATTTGGCGCCCGCTTTAATTTGGCGAAAATGAAAAATTCGCCAATTTAAATCTTCGCCAAAATTTAGAATGAATCCCCGGGAATTATCTAGGGTATTTTGTCCAGTGTTTTAGGTCACTTCCGGTTTAGCTTTTTCCAAAAATATGAAAAAATGTCTCTCATAAATTGGCTCAGAACTGGTCAGTCACTCATTAATACTCAGGGAAAAACGCAGTATGGTAGCAGCATAGATCGAGGTACAAAATGTAAAGGATGATCTCACAAAAATGTACAAACGTGGTGAATATCGCCAGTGGTCCTTAAAAAATTTTTTTTCTTTTTGCAATCCGCCAAATTAAATAGCCGCCAATATGCCAAAAATGGCAAAATCGCCAAATTAAGTATCGCCAAATTAACCCAATCTACAGTATTATAAAAATATTTTTCAAATTAAATTGTTGCCATTCCGTGACCATTACAGTTTTTTCAGATCTTTTCCGACGATCTGTTTAACAGAATTTTTTTTAAAAGCTCAGCAAATCACACAGTCCTTTTGTAGAAATGTACCTAAAATTGAGGAATTATGATGCCAAATTACAGCAATCCCACAATTTTATTAGAAGGTAGTTGGTAATAATGAACTGATTCGCCAGGAGCAGAAAAGAAAGGTAACATTATTGTAAAAGTGACTGAGATTCATTGAAAATAGCCCAACAAATCTGAATGAATTTTTATTCATAATCACAACCTGCATCATCTAGTGTTATGTTTATAATACAGTAACTCTCAATAATGTCAACATTTCTCATATACATGTATAGCAGGTGGGGGGGGTTGGGTTGGAATCTGAGAGTTCAATATTAAAATCAAGTTAGCTCTCCTACATTGAACCTTTGATTTGGTCCCTTACATATCCATTTGGTTTTGACCAATCATGCAAGCTTGAAAATGATATAATAACACATATTTTTCTGTGTAAACAATACTAAGAAATATGTTAAAAATAACAATTTCTGTAACTTTTAAAAAACATCCTGGTAAGACTGGTATAAAATATCTTGTTGCACTTTTTTCATCATTTGCCACTTTCAAGTTGAAGTAATAAGAACGGTTATAATGAAAACACGCGCTACGCGCTAACGCGCCACGCGCCAATGCGCTAGTAGAAAATGATCCTTCCCCCACGATGTGTGCGCATGTTTTAAGCGCATGTTTATGATTGGTCTATACCCTTGGCCCAGGGACATGTATAATTAGGGTTATGACTCCCTGGGAACTTGTCAAAACATTGACACTTCAAAGACTGTATAAATCACCGCTAACCTGTCAATCAGACTTTGATGTGAACTTTGCGGCCGCAGGAAATAAACAAAGCCTCTCGAAAATTACACTTTTCAAGTTACGATTTCTCTAAAAATATAAGACCAATTAAGATGTTCTTCACACCGTTAAAAAACAGAATTCAACTTTAATTTAGGAAATAATTCCAAAACTAAATGAACGTGTACTTTTCCTATTTGACCTGAAAGAACATGAGTAACTTAGAATTAATAAATATTTACGGCCAATTACTGGACAATGATAAAACACGCTGGTCAGGTTTACATTACTTTTTAAATCGTCTCTTATTTAAAACTTTAATTCCAAATGAAATACAATCCTGTTTTCAACAATATTCCTGGTAAAATAGGTATTACAATTCACTGGGACTGATGTAATTCAAAACTTTTTAAATCTAAAATCAAATTGAGAAAAACGAAAGCAAACATGAAAGGGGGGTTAGGGGTCTTGGAAATCCATATTCACTATTTTTCACTAGCCCTCAGTCTTATACCATTTACAGCATTTTTCACCCCTTTTACATGTATTTAACATACAGTGTGTGCAATATTTTTCACATCTCCCTATAGTACTATATTTTACAAAAAGCTCTGGTAAATAATATATCTGTACGATAATTTTGAAATTACTGTTGAAAAAAGTTTGGATAATATTCAGAAGGAAATAACATAATGCAAGAATCCACGTAGTACCAAATGTATAATCATACGGCAAATAGGCAGTACACAGGCCTGAAGCCAGGGGGGTTCGGAGGGTGACTTTTGGAATTTTTGAAAAAGTGACCCCCCCACCCCTGGGAAATCCTGGTTACTGTCCTGGCATATGGCATATAGAGACTACTATATAGAGATCTGGATTACCCCCATAAATGTGGGACTGATTTTTCAAATCACCCCCCACAACCAGGCCCGTAGCCAGAGGGGGAGCTGGGGGAGTGGAGCTCCCCCTCTGGCCAGAGATTCTTTCAAAATCATGCAGTTTTTCACCATTCTGAGAATTTTTTGTTTGATTATTAGCCAAAATTGTGAAAAAGCTTCCCCTGGAAAAAAGGCTCCCCCTCCTGGTAAAAGCTGGCTACGGGCAAGTCCCCACAACTACTTGTGTATTGAAATCCCAAATTTATGGGGATAAGCTGGATCTGCAGTATTCGTTCAAACTGCGAGTTTAAATTTCATAATAGGCTTCTTTAAAGGCAGAATCAGATCTCCTAAAAGATTCACAATATGTTATAAATTGGTGAAGTTATTAATGATTCAAAGTGCAAAAATGGGTGAAAAATGTTTAAATTCTCCCAAATAATAAGAATGGTAACCATTCTAATAGAAAAATAATACATTATTGTAAAAATCTTTCGTTTTCCTTGAATAAAGTATGCACTTTTGTGATTTTTAGAAAATAGACATGAAAAGGAATGGCATGAGCCAAAAATATTCTAAAATTGAAACAATTTTTTGTTTAGCCTGCTCGCTATCTCTGATTCTCTCTTTAATTCTTTTAAAACATATGTTTATTTAACTTATACGATGCCATATACGATAAATGTTACCACCTCTTATGCAGTCATACAATAGATTTTCACCCTCCTCTTATACGATAACCCTATACACCCCCCCCCCCAATGAAAGCGAAAGAGGTGTAACCGGGCACGAAAAGAAAAATGGAAAAATATAAATGCGACGCCTGCAAATTATCCCACCGTTTGGTAAGTCTGAGAGATATAACTTCAAATACAAAGAGTAAAGATATATAAAACATCCATGACTTGATATTAAGAGGTAACATGCGACAAATAAACATTATATTAATTAAGTCATTAGTCAAGTAGTCGGGCCCCCGGCTCAGATTTCGAAACGGGATTTTTCTCGCCGATGGATGGACCCAAATAATGCAATGAAATAGGGAGCGTATTCGCATATCTGTGACCATTCATCTTGTAAGGTGCTACTTTCTATTTATCTTCCTTTTAAATCAGATATAACACACTGACAATCGATTATCTTTGCACAGTTAACGATCAAACATTGGGCTTCTTCATACTTCTGCTTTCTGATGCGCCACCTAATCTATTCACTCACTCGATTTTTATACATGTTCCTGGGCCTGTGGGAACGATCATTCTGAACAGTGCGTTAGTGCGCTAGCGCGTTAGCGCGTAGCGCGTGTTTTCATTATAACCAATAAGAACACTGAATTATAAGGAAACTGAATTGAACTTTGTTAACTACAAGTAAGATTTCCATGCAAATAAATATTTTCTAGAAATGAAATAAAGTAAATTCAATTCAGATTTCTAAATTTTGGACAACAATTACAATTACTTAACAATTAATATACGAGTATCATTCACAATTAACTGATTTTTTACTTTAAAATTAAAGTATGACTCAGATTAGCAGCACAATTGGAGCGTTTTGTCTATTGGTCACTCTGTCTAGTGATTGGCTGAATGTGGCAGATGGGTGCATTCGCAATAGATTCCGTGTGGGGAGAGGCACGCTTGGTATAGGACTCCCTAGTGAGGCAGGAGGCAGTGGACTGTATGTTGGGGTCAGCTATACAATCCCATTTCGTAGGTAAAGCTCAGAATTAAAATTGTGATTCCTTTACTTTAGCAATATAATACAATATGCTGAATTTTCAATTGTAAAATTGTAAGATAAATACAACATGCTGAATTTTCAATTGTAAAATTGCAAGAAAAATAGAAAACTGAATTAATAGATGAGATAAAATTAGTGTTAATAAGTGTACTGCTATTTCTCTGTTTAATAAGAGACAATCCTGTGTGTTTGTACTTGTTTTATCTATTATGTCCTTCTTTCTCATGTTGCTATTTGTGCACTTTTTACTTTAAGGCGCCGATCAGTTGAGCAAAAAGCAGACTACAGCGATATTTTTAAAGTATGCGACTCTAACACCGATGACAAGTTGAGCTTAAGTGAGATGACAAGCTGTTTCCCTCAACCTAGCCGTGTGTTGGTTAAAACCTTCAACAGCCTTGACAGAAATAAAGATGCCACATTGAATTTACAGGAGTTTGAAAATGCATACTTAAACCTTGGAGATAAAGCTGGTATGTAACAACATTATAAAGTAATCAATTTAAAGTTTCATAAGGTAAACAAACATTTAAGAAATCTTGTAATTAAATCATTTGCAATTTTTGCCAATAATATTTTGATAGGTTGTAGATTTAGCTGCCAAGACTTGGGTGCTGACTCTCAAGCTAGGCACAGCCATCCTGGCATAGGTGTCCCTTTGGGTTGATGAGTTATTCTATATGGTCTATTTGATATATGTTATAGAAGCAAACTGTCACACAAATATGCTACAGAGATGTGGCTACAGTTTCATGCTCTACTCCCGTGCTAGAGTTCCCAATCAAACAACCATGTGTGGGGCCTTACAGGTGAGTGAACTATTTCACAAGACTGTAGACTTACAGACTTTAAGAAGATGTAAAACCAATAACTTATGTCAGCTACAATTCAACTCAATCAGGCCCATAGCCAGGATTTGCCAAGGGGGGTTCAGTTTTCAAAAATTTCCAGGGGGGGTTCACATTTGACAATTGTGGCCCAAATATGCTTAAAATCACTTGAGAAGTGCTCAAAATGGTGAAAAACTGCATGATTTTGAAAGAATTTTTGGCCAGGGGGGGGGGTTCACCCGAACCCTGCAAACCCTCTCCTGGCTACGGGCCTGTCAATAATTCCAAAGTCATATGATGACTGGAGTCTTGATAATCTTTTGTTGTAGCAATATCTGTTTCAAGAACTTGGTTAAAAATTCTTAATTTGCCTGATACATGTAATTTGATTATTTTTTCTCAGGAGTACATAGACTGTGTGGGGTTGAAGAGAAAGATGTGTGACACTGATGAGAACAAGCAATACACGACAATGTTGAGTGAGATGGTCACTACCACACGTGAAGATGGCATTTGTCCCAACATCACAATAGATGACCTTGGCAGCATCAAAGGTAGAGTAACATAATTCTAACAAAAATACATATCAGATAAAAACTACATTTATAGATTTTCTAAAGTACCACTACATATTAAAGGGGCATCAAGGACTGTAGAGAGAAAATTCAAATTTCAGCTATCAGGTCAATATTTGGCTTAACATCTTCTTTGATATACCTATTTTCTTAAATGTATGGATAAACTCTCAATTTCAGCATTAAGAAGTGTAAATTTAATTCAAAGCTTCTATAAAGGGAGTCCCACTTATAGATTTTTAAGATTCACCACGTTTCAAGAGCAATATGAGCTGAAATAATGTTCATCCAGGGGGTTTCTTTGTAGATAATAAAAATATATGTTAGTCTTGATGAAATATCTAAACTTAAATATATTTTGACACTGGTCGATGATCGTCGAATTGCCCCCCTGCACTAATTGTTGCAACTTTAAAATAGAATTACAAAAAAGGTATTTATGTTATCGGAGGAGGTGAAACAAAAGAGAATGATGAAAAACTAAAATATGATTTAAGGTGGTTGTATACCAGGAAGCCTAGAAATAATAACTACGATAAACTGTATATTTTTTTTATTAAAATGACCATGACATGGTTCGCTTCATAATCAAATAAAAAAGTTTTTTTTATTTTTTAGCAGCTGATCAAGTGTATCAAAGTGTATATATTTTTTATCCCATACTTGGACGTGTTACAGGTACATAACGCCGGTTTGTAAAAACTTATATTTTCATCAGCGGGCAGATATAGCTTTACATCCCGCTCCGAGCGGGCAGATATAGTATATCTGCCCGCTACGTCATAATCGCCGCTAGCATATTGGTTCATAATTTGTAACGTTCGTGTCAGTCATTACGCGTCGCGAAAATAAATGTGGGAATATTTGAGAGAACAGGAAAATCCGCCAACGGCCAAGAAAACAAAACTGGACATGAATATTCTAAAATCTTTCCACGATTGAACAATGTGAACCAGATGACCAAGATTGGTATGGGATAAACATATTATCCTATAGTCGATTCAGGATATTGGGGTTATCCCTTGGCCAATATAATATATTTTCCCTCGGGACCTGCGGCCCTCGGGCAAATATATCATCATATTAGCCTCGGGATAATCCCAATATCCTGAACCTCATATAGGATAATCTATATATATTAAAATGACCATGACATGGTTATATGCTTCATAATCAAATAAAAAAGTTGATGCCACCAGCTTTTTTTCTACTAAAACCAAGAAAACATTTTGATATCCCATGTTAGGGAATAGGAGAGTGATTACACTTCTATTTATGTATCAATGGCATGTTGATCTGGATTTTCAGAATAATAAATGAAGTTAAAATTCTCTTTTTATCTTTATTTTGTGATAACTTAATTCATTCCAGATGTGAACTTGAATGAGCTTCCCTGTAGCAAGTCTGCCATTATGCTCTGCGACATCGGTTTCATGGAGGACCTTCATAAAGGAGTGGATGCATGCATCGCTTTGGATGCCTATGAGAAATGCCTATCTGAGAGCCACCTGGGCTGTGAGGATGAACCATCAGAAGAAGGGCTTAAAGCAGCACAGGACATTCTGAAAGCTTATCTGTCAACTGGAATGTGCAGTTAAACATTCTTTCAAAGATAATGTAGACTATGATTCTCTAAAATACAATGAATGATGAGACTATGATTTTCTTTATATCTATATGCTACATGTATGCCATAATGTAATGACTGATCATACTTGTAAATCAAAATGGTCACTAGAATGATCGATCATAACAAATGTAACTTAAAATACATATCTTCAAACAGCTCTACCTTCTTTAAATGTTTGTTCAAAGAACATTTTGAATGGATACTCACTGAAATTTAGACCGTTTGGAGATATTCTATTAAAAACATATTAGAGGCTACATGTATGCCTACTATCTCTCAAGACATATTGTGTTGACCACTGTGCCTACTCTTATTTCAGTGAAATGAAGTGCCATTTCTATACATTTTATTTTATAAACATTTTAGAAGGCTTTATATATAATATAAAACATATTCAGGAAAGTAATATAATTATATATTCAAAACCAACTGAGGTTCTAGTTACACAATGTGCAGGAATATAAGTGTATCAAGGGGAGCATGGATGATAGATCTGTATCTATCCTGCTATCTCAGAGGTCTGGGAAATAAAGGCTGTTTCCATCTCCCACTCCACATTTTCTTTTAAAAATCTAATATTGTTTTTTGAAAAATTTAAGTTTTAAAATCGTAATATGAATTTTTAACCAAATTGTATTCAAAAACTGCTATTGATGTATTAAAATCCATTTTTAAAAATTTTGGATGTACCTAGAATCTTAGTAGGTATGGAACAGTGGAATACATCTGTAATACATGTATACTCAGTCTGTTGGTTTTTGATCCAGAGTTTAACCCTCAAAATATATGATCACATTACATCTCGAGAAATACATATTTTCCCTTGAGATAAAACTTGTATCCAAAACTTCCCAATACATTACCCTTATATATTCAAGATGGTTTATTATAACCTGTATAATTCAAATATTATGTAAAGGACTCATAAACCCAGTTCACTTGTAGGTTGACATGTTGAAAGATTCGAATTAACAGATTTATCATTAAAAATTATCTTAGACTTTTAAAGTAGATTGTATGTTTAATGTCAATCCTACTGGATTCTATGCCATCTATTGACAGTTCTCATGTCCATTGTAACTGCTATCGTTAAATTATATCCAGACACTGTAACTATCCTCAAAGGTTGGAGTTTGATGGAAGATTTGATTTTGACAAGTAACATTACCAGAGGAAGAAAGTATAATATTATATAGTACCAGAATCAGCCACTTGAGTCATATTTTTCAAAATCTGTCCTCTGAAATTCTCTAAGCTACTTATTGTAACCAGTGATCAAGTCAAACTCAAGTATTTTGATTGAGGAACTAATAAGTATAGAATCAATAGAATAAAACATAATGAAATCTGTCTAATTTGCACACCATTTGGACCCCTTGAGCAGTTTTTGTATTAAACATGTGATATTTTATGAAAGTGTACACATTTCAAGTTTTTTTAACATGGAATTCAATGGAAAGAGAATAAATAGGATGGAAAAAAGACATTGAGGGGTGTTCGGATTAGAGAGGTGTTTGGATATATGGGTTTATTGTTGTGTTTAGGTAATACCTGGAATCATACTTAGTATTTGGATGATTCATCAACATAAAAAGATTTTCTTTCAATACCCGTATTGTACAATAAGATGACCTATGATAAAATAAATTTGGAATTTTCAAATCAGAGTTTTGTTTAATCAAGGACTTGTCCTCGAAAAGTTATGGACTGGTTGGAATACTTTGTATTCTTCAAGCATGAATATAAAATAATTTTCTCACCTCACGTCTCTTGTAATCAGTGCTAATGAAACCATCATATCTCTTTCTTAAGAACTTGCCAAGCCAGTAATGTTGCCACATCCCAGTCTGAAAATATCACCAATATGCAGAGATTATCCTACATGATGTCCAGGATATTGGGTTTATCCTGTGACCAATATAATATATTTGCCCCAGGGCAGGTGTGTTATATTGACCAAGGGATAATCCCAATATATATTATGATCTTTTTATCCTATACTATGTACAATTCACTCATTGTTAATAATATTTTTTTCTGGGACCATCTGAAAATTCTCAAATCATGCTTTAAATTCTAACTAACAAGTATCTCACCTTCAACAATTTTTTCTCAGAGTACTATTTTCATCCAAATGAGCAGGTAGGTTATTGAAAGCTTTTTTAGACAGCCAGAACTTAAGTTCTGCGAATTATTTTACACAAAAAATAGGTATGTTAGCCCCATGTGTTATCTTCAATAATAGACAAAATAATGAAAATAAAGTCGATTACTCTCAAGCTGTCTTTAATCCACCCAACATCACCTAATTTTCATCAAATATGCACATATCACAACTTCTTTTTAGAAATTAAGTTACGACTCTCTCAAAAAGCTTGCAATAACCCACCCGCTCCTTTAATTTTGTCCATAATTTAAATTTTTGATTTTCCCATATACCTGCTCTCTCAGCCAGGACATAAGGCTTTATCCTGTCAATTTTACAAACCTGCTTTATATCCCATCACTTTCATGTGGGATATGTACTGGAAGGTAACATTACCAATACATACATCCCTGCATACAGAGACATACAAATACATGCAAAAATGTAACTTCTGTAGGTTGAAAATATATACTAAAGGAATTTGAATAAATAAAATAAATTTTAGTTCATTGTTCCCTTCCCGCTTATGGAGAATTGTATAGAATTTGAATTTACCTACTATTTATAAATAAAAAAAGGAAAATGTAAAAAAATGAAATAAAATAAGGAATGAGCCTGGAAAGTGGTTAGCATTTAATTTTAACAACATATCTAATTCTAGAAGTTTTGCATTAAACAAATTGTACCTGGTTGAGTTGGCCTAGTCCCTGTGGCCAGATAGATTGCGGGTAAGGGTTCTTTGGGTAGGCCTTGGTCGGAGACCGGTCACCATGTCTGTACAGCTGCAACAAATTAAACAATAACATTTAAGCTTTGTTAAACAATGGGATTTCTTATTTTCTACATGTGGATTCAAGGGTTTTTCCAAATAAGAGTATAGCCAGTTAGTTAGTCTGACCATGGGTCTATATCCTAAACATTTTCATACTTGAATTATGTCAGGTAATGAGACAAAAGACATGATGCCCAACCACAACTGTGCTACGAATGTACTATGTATGTACTAACAGAGGTCTACCCTGGCAAAGAAAGGATCTCACTGCATAAAACTGCTATCAAGATTATCTGATAGCAAGTTATAATTTTTTGAAGAACAATGAGCCACTTAAAAGTTGAAAATCTTTATCCAGTGTTGTATGTAATGTTATCCAGCTTACAAAATATTTTGACTTGCCATTGCTTAAAGGGAGAATGTCTTGTGATTTTTCAGAAAACCATTTGGTTCGGAGTCTGACACGACCGACTGAGCTATCGCACCATGTAATTTTTTTTTGTTTTCTAAACGTATAAATAATTTCAAAATAACATCATAAAAAGTACATTCATGTTATTTGGAAATGATCAATTGTACTACTAATATATTGTAAAGTATATTTGAGTAAATATTTCTATATATATATTGTATTGTATATATTGTTGAAATTTGTAATTAACGGTGTTTGTCTACATGTTGAACTTCCCATCAGCGCTACGAAATGGCAACATGGGTTGTCAAGCCAATCAGCCAATCAGATTGGAGCAAATTGTTGGATAGGGACTTTTCATTTTTTCGACTTTTTTCTTGCCAAGAAAGAAGTAATGTCTGTGAACAATCTTCAAAATTAATATTGTAACGAATTACAGTAGTTGAGTCCTCAAACTAAGTAGATCGACAAACTTGCTGTACATGTTTTAGCATCAAAACCTGAAGGGGGTACCTAAATTGTGGTTTTATTTGACATTCCCCCTTTAATTGAAAAAGATGGCAGCTTTGTCAAACCTATTGTCTTCCTATGTTTCATTGATTCAATCTTAAAATTGTCAGTAAAAATAAGGAGAAAATTTGATATATGTATATGCAATTGGATGTTATTCTACTCAATACTCTGTGATTCAATTAATTGATTGTATTGGCTGCTTTGATTTGTCAACCATGAAGCATATGCACTTTATTAAATATAAAGAAATGTTAAATACTCCTTTTTTGCTTGTGACATCAGACATTAACTAGACAACAGCATGCCAAAACGTAGCAAATCCCATCGAACAGCCATGGCTGGTATTTTTACAAACAAAGTATAGAGCAAAATGGCCGCCATTTTTGAAAATGGCCACCACAAGTGTCATTAGATAGTGTGCCATGCTTATTAGTATTCACATGCCAAATGTGAACAAAATTGCTCCACTACTTTCCAAGTTATAGTAAAATATGTTAAAATGGCGGCCATTTTGAAAGCTTGTCAAAATGTGCTTACATTAACTTTTTGCATATATGGCGGAATGTGCATGGAAGTAAACCTAGTCGGGCCACAAGATATATCAGATAAGAAATAAGGGCCAGACTTCGGCAACTTGTTGAACTATCTACAAAGTTGACTTTCTAGATTGAGCTAATACTATTTTCCCTTGGCCTATGATTTACGATCTTATCTTGGTATTGCATGACTACCAAATGTGGATAATTGATAAAGATGTGTAGGCCTAGTTTTTCAAAGTTTGTCTAGACTAAAATTAAAAAAATAAAAATTAGATCTATAGTCCGGGTTTCATCATAACTTCCGGAAATGACATGTCTTTCGGAAATTTTTTTTTTGGAATATTTTCACTTCATTTACATTTTTGTATAACTGTATAACTGTACTTATTGTTGATCAGACGCATCTTGATTCTCAAGGTATTAGTTGCTCCAACTGTTATAACCACTTGGAATTCGAAGATGGATCGGAAGGAAAGATAAGCTTATGTAGTTACACTAGAGTTTGTTTACTACCATTTGGAAGGCACAGGGTCCCATTCTTCATCAGGTAACTTATTAGATGGTGAACACCGCCTCTAATGCTTTGGATTGTCGTATGGACTTACATTAGGCCAACACGATCCTCAGAGACCCAGAGGGTGCATGAATGCACCTAGTAACTTATAGATCTATATGTCGAAGTTAGTCCTTGCTACTGCTAGAGTCTACAGTGGGGGACACAAATAAAACTCAACGTTCACAAGTTGTCACAATGAGCTAATTTTCAAGTTTCGTGTCTCAAACTCTCCCAAGCGGTAGAAAAATAATTCCCGTTCACTAAAGTAGCACAATAAATGAATCCAAAGCTTCATACCTGCAAATAATGGATAAATCCCTACCAAATCGAATGAATGTTTTCATGAATCGCCATATTTGTTATCCAAGGACGGTTGACTCCCAGAATGCAACATCAGTTACCGTATTTACTCATGACAGGTTTCAAAATGGCGGAACAGCATTTTGAAAGCTTGCACGTGTCATGTTGCATTCTGGGAGCCAATCCTCCGTTCCGGCGCAATCGGGCGACAAAATCACCTCAACATTTGAAGAGTCGGCATAACATGTGAACATCCACTTCAACTTTTGAAGTTCTTATTTGTCATTAGGGACACAAATTCCACTATATTAGGACTTACTCAGACGGAGAAAATAGAGCACTGAATACACTGAGGTAAGAATTTATTACATGTGCGACAGCATGTAATTTTCATACCTTTTGCAATTCTTTATAATCTAATCCCCACTGTATTTTTACCATCCGACTGTAGACTCTACAAAAAAATCTATATATAGACATCTACTGATATGTAAGATATTTAAACTTAAAACTTACAATGTTAACTTGTCTGAGGGTATCGGGGGCCGATACTGCACACGTAAGACAGCAATAAAGAAGCAAAATTCTAAACATTTTAATTTTACTTCCGGCCTCCATGTTTATTGACAAAAGTTGTACCTCGTTATTGCATAGGGGTGGTGGACTATATTTACGAGATAGGTGAGGCCTACTTTCGAAATAACAAAGTCGTTACATCGTAAATACAAAATGAATTGAGCATTATTAGCTAATCCAGTGGATCAATAATATTCATTTATAGGTTTGTGCAGTCAAACTATATGTATATAAAATGTATCTGATTCTTCCACCCCTGCAGAATGAAATCGTCCAAAACTGCTCTTGCCCTTACCTGACCTAATAAAAAACAGAATTTGTGGCAAAAATCTGGGTCATAGTACGATACGTTTGGACAATCTGAACTATTCTGTTATTGTAAGTATACAATAGTTTCATTTTATCATATACATATTGTCTCAGATCTGACATAAGCAACTCTTAGAGTAGGGCTACAAGTTCCTGGAGGCAGCTTCAAAATTCCCATTTCACACAGTTTTTTGATAGCCATATCCAAAATTGTTCAAATTAGCTATAATCTACCATACTATGGGTGCAAATAAATTTCCAGTTCAGTACAAGCTTTTATCTCAACTAGGTGTAGTATCCATTTGCTTCAATGTAATATGTCCATTGACATGCACACAGATGAAAGACGTAGAATTGGTTGCCCTTACTCGAGTCTCTAGCTTACAGCTAGACGAAACTTCATTGATTTCGTATGTACTGTGCTACACGCACCTACACGTACCTAGAACTCATTTTTAATAAATTTTATAAATATTTTTAAGAATATTAATCATCATTTAGGATGAAGCGTTGCTTGTCTGGATTTAGATATTTCAAAATTTCATTTCGGAGTTTGACACATGGTGAAATTTTCTCGCTGTAGCTAAAAATGGCTTCCGGTTCTGGACGTGAATAACATTTGAAATATTATTCTCGCTTAAAGAAATCAAATATAACAATAGATTCAGACGGGGATGTGAGCTGATGTTCTTCAAATCTATACATAAAGGTATATTTCATATTATTATGCCATATTTACTGTGCGTGTGACACAATGATTTACAATATTTATAATACTAAGGCAGCTCAATCTTCCTCCTCAAAGCCGGAATATAGAGAAGGCTTTGGACCGAAGTAAGGTTGCCCTAGTGAGGTCATTGCGAGGTCATTGGTATAGAATCAAAACGCAAATTCTAGTGAGCAGTTCATATGGTTAAAATAACGAAATAATGAAATGTTACTGTGTGTCTACTTATCAGTTTGTTCTATGTCATCCATCCTGCTAGGTTTTGTGCAACGCAGCCATATGAGTAAAAACGGTAAAAACCGGTGTTCAAACGCCAGCTCTGATTATAACAATTCAATTTAGTAGTAAGGTACAATTAAACACTATAAGAAGTAACACAGCATGTTTTCAAATAGAAATAAAGCTAGGTGAAGTTACAAATATGCAAATTAATTTACTCCATCGGCCATTTTGAATGGCACTGCCTACAGTTGGAGACAAAAATAAATGACAGGTCGATTTTCGATCACCATTTCCTAATTATGGTGGTCTGAAAGCCCATAATTTCCAATATTGTCTAGATACATATCCCTTAAAATTTGTATATTTTACATTTTGTATAATCTCATCCACTGATTTATGGCCTCTTGTAAATTCTCTTATTTTTAACATGGGAAATCCTCACTTCAGCAAATCCACCTGTCATTTATTTATGTCCCCAACTGTATGTACAGTGCTGGTATATATTAATTGATCAGTCGTTTAATTGGCATATTTTCTTGAATTTTAACATTTAATGTCCCAAACTCCCACAAACTGCAGAAAAGTATACCCCATAAATCATATTTACCAAAATGAGTGTCTCCAAGGCTTCACACCAGCGTATGCATAATGCATTTGTCACGAGTTTGAGTTGAAATTTCGCCAAAATGAAGTATGCTAAGGGTAGTCTCTGCCAGGTTTGTTTATTGTGGTAAGTTTGTAAGTGCTCAGAAGCAAATAATTCACGTGCGCAAAATAATTAAATAATCTAATTGGTCTAAACTTTGCTGCACATGCGCACAATGTGTGCCATGGTTTTTTCTAGTGATTTCGTTTCGTTTCATGGAGTTTGCGTTTCAGTGTAACTTCCGCAAAAATGGCGGACCATGGACAGAATTAACAGGTAAAATCACTTCGAAATTTCAAGAGAACTTTTTACCTATAATAGCAAAACTTTTGTTTTATTTGTGCATTCTATCTATCAGATAAGAGTTTCAGGGGTATGTAGGCAAATTCATTTTGGTAGGAACACTCTGTTTAGTTTGAAAACGCACCCTATATTATTATATATCAGCACTTTAAACAAATATTTCTTAATCCCAGATTTTAACATATGTGGGAGCCTGCTATAGTATGAATATTTTCATTCCAAATTTCCAAAAATTTCACACTAGAGGATATAGTCTAACATGTATGATAAATGCAAAATCTTACCCTACCTTTATGGTTTTAGAGGGTGTAATTTTCTAGATATTGTACAAAAATCATGAAAGTTGATTGTCATGATATTTCAAAGCATATGCACTAGTGTTGTCACAATGTGTCATAATCGTACATTGATGCATCAACAATTTTCTGGAGTAAACATTGATGCACATAGCGATGTGTATCAGGAAAAGGTCAGAGAAAAGTGCACTATAAAATACCAATCGCAAATGCACTGAAATACTGAATGTAACAAATAAGTAGTAGTTCTTTGTACTTCTGGGAACGGCAAGGAAAACAATGTAAAAGTTGGAGGTCATTATGGCAAACTAAAATATTTCTAAAGTGAAAAAATATCGGAGAACATTGGAAAATAAACCAAGCAATGAGAAAAGTAAGACAATATTTAAAGTCGAAACATTGATGTCTTGTTTCACACATTGATACATCACCAGAATCACTTTTGGCAATGTATATCACGATGTATCGATTAATCGCAACATTTTTTATTACAATATGCTGTTCTTGGACCTCTGCAGTGACAAAAAATAATCGAGAAACATTTGAAAAGTAGAATTCTGAGTTGGAAAAGTTGGATGTTAAATCTATTAAAAAATCAGAAAATGATGAAGAGTTACTTAGACTTTCACTTATAAGCAAACTTGGCGGTATAATCAGCTCAATGCTAGCCTTATACAGTCAATATTACATGAGATACACTGTTGCTCTATTAACTACTTAAATTTTTTTATTTTTAAATAATGGTGCCTATTCAGATGAATTAGTCCCTATACAATAAATCTAAGCACGGTGAGTTTTATCTCAAATCTCAAATCAAATAATGACAAATTCAGAGTCTTTGTCAGGGCTGACTCAACATGAATCCTATTATCCTAAAATATTCATACATGTACACTTATGATAGGCCCACCTTTTTGCATTTGCATCTGGAAATTTAAAAAACTGCAAAGTTAGAAAACAATGATCTAAGTCTAAGATCTTTGACTGAAGTCTTGCATTTTATTGTTATAGCCCAACGGGATTTTAAAGTAAAGTTTTTCCATTAGGTTTGGGTGAGGTCTGAAAAATAGGTGTTTCAGAAAATATCTCCAAGAATAAAAAGGACAATGCAAAGCACAATGTCTAAGCTAGGTCACTTGTTAAGCGAAATATACCAATCGATCATAAAGTATAGCTAATGCATTTCATTGTTAAATACCAGAAGCTGACCTCCTCTCTAGCTATTGGATCATTTTATTTTTTATTTGTCATAAAGATTTATGTTTCTCACAGATAGCGGTTTATAACATTTTTATGGGATTTCCACTGTGGTGTGGAAGGTAAAATATTGGTTCCCATAAACTACTGAGGCCTTGGAAGTACATTTAGCTGTTTAATTGCTCTAAAATCGCTAAAAAGTGGCTAAAAATTACCTCTTCCTCTCACATTTTCATGCAAATGTCAGTACCTTTCTTATTTCTCTGATTACTGATATGCTTTCAAATTAAAAATGTTTAATAGCTTGTTGAAATGAACCAGTGACCTCCAATCTTTATGTCAAATATATATATATTTATGTCGTATATATAGATATTGTAATAGTCTTAAACAATTTTTGGGAATGGTGTTCAGCAGTTTGTGTTCAGATTTTGGTGATTATTGTGCAGTGGTTTGTGTTCGGCATTTGACGCTTGGTGTCTGTAACAAATGGCAATGGCAGCTTCATGCCATCACTTAACCACTCTCTATTTATGTGCTCGACATCTCCATGTAGACATGCTCAAAAACTTTGCTGGTTGTGAATGTTCCCTGAATGTTTTTAGCAGGCGAGAACAGCCTACTGTATGTCCATGCAGTGCACCGCTATCTGCCCAAAATTAGCCATATTGTGGTGAATGTGACAGCTTCTTTAGGTTCACAAGAATTGATCAGTATTCAGTCTTATTGTACAATATATAGAAAATGTGGTTATTTATAGTAAGTAGATTAAGATTAATGTTATTTTGTATGAGCTGATTTATCTTTCCATAGTCAACAAAATATCTTAATGTACCATCTCTAGAAATAAATTCAAGGTCAAAATGCACGCAGGATGCATTGACATTGTAAACTGATTCTAACATTTTAAGAAACAAATACATACCCAAACTTATTTCATTATGAATGATTAAATGACCTAGTATTAATGTAGATTTAATAAGTATAAAACAGTGCAGCAACTGATCCAGGATTTTGTGTTAGGAGGGTCACTTATATATTACCATCTTCATTTGAATTTGTTCTGTTCTTGCCAATTGTCACTTAATTATCAGTGACATAGCTGGGTTATTTAAATAAGACAATCAAATTATAGTTGCAGTTGCTGAACAAATAAAAGCCTTGAATTAGGTGAAGTAAGTGATGCAATTTCTCTCAAGGTTCTAACATACAATTGGAAAAGGGAAGAATGTAAATTTCAAAGATTCAATATAATTATAGTTTCAGTGCTCATGGATGTTGACTCACAAATGTGTTTTTTGATTAACTAATTGAAAATTTACCCTACCACTACCAATCGTTCATATTTTCATA